TACTATACTATACTATAAGTTTTATGTAGCATAGGACTAAACGAATATACAGTGACAATTTAAAATTATAAGTGTTAAATGAAATAATCTATTCAACAACTTTTCACTAAATGCATATGAAAGTATATATTTTATTCAAAAGTTTAATTACAATATATTGTCTCAATGTCTTTCTGCTTGTTATTGCTAATCTCTAAAATGGCTAGACTTATTTTGACGGGACTTTCACTTCCAGAAATCTAGTTTTATAAGGAGGTAACAGCTAGTGTTAAAATAAACGAAAATTAAAAGATAATTTTAAATCAGTAACGGGATCATAAATGATCACAGGTGACATAAAGTCTAATAAAATCAGCATTCATTTTACATTGCAAATTTAAAGTATTCAAATTTTGCGGACGAGAGCACGTCGTAATCTGCAATCAGGTAAGGTTATTGGGCTTTTGTGATATACCGTTAATAGAAAATTTTAGCGGTATACTTAAGAAACTAGGCGACATACACAGACTCAAACATAGGTCACGTTAAATAAAAAAAAACTTGTATATTTTTTTATGTAATTGGAAAAAAGAACAGAGCTATATAACCTTGTCAGACACACACGGAATACCTCACATACCTTGCTATTCAAGAGGAATAAAATATCCAGTTATTCTGTAATTTCACTTCTTAATCGCACCCTACAACCGAAACACAGCTTTCAAATCCAGCTGTTTGGTGGCTGAAATAGGTGAGTTTAAGGAACTCACGTAGACATTTTACTAGTCTATTTCTGGTATATACACAGCATAATGTACTCCCAAACTGAGTACAGACTATATTTTTTTATCGAAAATATGGAATGATGCCCCTGCCTTTGCTAATAGTTTACTAGTACTTTAGTGGCAGAGCACCAGTGGAGTATGATGAGATGAACATGAGGTCCGGTCAGTAGCCCTTCGTATAATAGTGATTGATATATATATTCAAATAAATTCCTTTGCAACAATAGATCTATATAAAGATAGATTACGCAAATCCCACGTCTTACAGTTTAATGTATACAGAAATATGATTAGCAATTTCCTAAAGTATTTTAATTAAATACGATCCTTCTATGTTTGCAAGTAATCAAGTTATGATTTAATTCAACTCGCGGCTTTCGTCTTCTCTGTATTAAATTTATCTTATACCGCAAACAAGAAAGCTATACTTATGTAAAATTTGATATAAAATAAACATTTATTTTGTTTGTCTGTATATACGTCCTTTTTTGAACATGACGAATGAATCGGAAAGTTTACTCATTAATCTTTAATTAATGCTTCTTTGAACTAACTGCCAAAAGAAGGATGTCCTCCCACTAATATGGTTGAGTGTAATGATAGTTCGCTCATCCGTCATACTCTTGAACAGGTGCAGGTCTTACTGACCACTAATTGGACTATTTTCTTATGACAGAATTGCAAAGGCATAGGCATTTTAATTTGAATATGAATCTGTATTTTTGTAAACACGTACAAACTCATTCGAAAAGAATAAGAGCTGAGTTTCATGTCAGTTCTTCTTGAGTCGAAAGCACTCTGACTTACGGTAGATTTGACATACCATAAGTAATAGACCTACATTTATAAAGATATGTTGATTTGACTGGTTTGATTTGATTTGATGTTCGGAATATGACAGTATTTGTCTATATTTATATTAATTAATATATTCTAGCAAAACATTACAATACATGGCATGAATTTGAATTCCGTTGTACAATTAATAGTTTTAAGAACCGATAGTTGTATATAAGCATCCAGACTGGTACACACATTAGACATAACATTGTATTTTATTTGGGGAACAAAATGTTTTTTTGTACATTGCTATTATTTCGAAGAACTCAGAACGATAACATATTGTTGTCCGCAATTTTGTTCAGTAGCATTTCACTGCTCACAAATCATGTCACATTATCATATGAATGGTATTCACCTTCATGTTATAAATATATGTTGACTTTGTAACTATACATGTATTTTGTTTTCAGGTACCATCTGTATAGTAATGTTATTGTGATATTATTCTTTTAGTGGTCTTCTAATTTTGTATCCCTAACGTTCCGTGTATAGGTATACTTTTTGGGTACCTTCGTCAAGTCTTCTTGCCGTCGCTTAAAAGCCACATAAAGCCTTAAGTCCAAGGTTTATAACCAGTTCGTCCTACCCGTTATGACATACGATGATATTTGTGGGTATCAAATCAAAAATAAATCCGAGAGACGGTGGTAGGCTGGCCCCTTGTCACGTGGATATCCAAATACGCCGAGCGAAATATGAGCAAGTCAAGTATTGTAGTTACCATAACATCGACAGTCGGTAATGCCTCGGACTACCCCGTCTGGAATACTAGTCGTGACGGTGTTATCTTAATAATATTATAAACGCGGAAGTTTGTAAGTATGGATGGATGAATGTTTGTTACTCTTTTACGCAAAAACTGCTGAATGGATTTATTGAAACTACAATAATATAGCTTATACATCAATAATACATAGACTATAAATTTCGCGCGGGTGTAACCGCGGGGACAGCTAGTGTTGCATATATCACGGAAAGCTAAGTAAAGGAAATCACTGTTTCCAACTAAAACGAAGACAAATCATGGCTTAGATTCAAGTGTGGAAGTTCTCAATCCGAAGAAGTTTCCTGGAAATTCCATTACGAGTAAAACTGGGAACAAACTCAACGTTACGCTCGGTGCGTAAAGTTTTCTTGTCGCGGTGTGAGATACCTAAAGGCAAAGCCACAGTGTCACATAGCGCAGTGGTATTTATTAGTAAAAATCCACTTAAAGCATCTTTCTGACAAATTCAGAGAATTTTGTTAAAAATATACCAGAGGTAGACTGTAAAATGTCGATTTCGTGGGGAGCGCTGCCCCACCTATTTCAGCCGAAGCGTATATGGCAAATAAATTACAAGATGAGAAGCATCTTTGTTCTCTAGAATGGCAACACATAAAATAAAAAAAAATCGTGTGAGTAGACGTGATCACAGTGGTACTGTTGTAGGATACTGTTGTAGTGGTACTGATATAGGAAACAGTTGTCGGTTACCAATAAATAAATCAATCATCAGTCAGTAATTTACTCATATAAAATAAATGTGTTTGTGATTTGAAATGATTCTTTACTTACACAATTCAATCAGGCCTCTCTCCCTTAATGATACTATCAATAAAGTACCTGTACAATTCGTTTAAGCAATGGAGGCTACTTTTACCTCTAATGCCTATGCCATATGTTTGTAAGATCAATGTAGAATAATCTCACTTTTATCAACTAGGAATATGTCATGAATATCATTTTCTAGCAAATCAAATTAGTGAATCGTCCATTACGACAAATTTTAAGATTTATTAAAATTTAGCATAATTTAATTTATTTTCTTTGTTGATTATTCTCTAGATTGTCGCTTTAGACTTGCCTTTACTTACATGCTAGCGAATGTCTACATAGGTGTGTATCATTAATAGGATTAGCTTAGTATCTACACTAACCTCCTGTATAAGACGTTTGTAGTTTAGTAATCTACTGTAATTACCTGTTCTCTCAGGTGTTCGCTATGTAGTTTAGGTAGGGAATGTTACTTTGTTCTATTGAATCTTGTTGGAAATTGAAGCTCCGCATTATAATAGTCTACCTACAGTTGTGAAACACCTCTCTGGTACAATTAGTGCTAAATCGTACCAAGACATACCAATTCTAAAACCAGTAATCATATGCAAAAAACTGTTCAAAGAAAGAAAAATAAGATTACCTAAAGAAGCAAAGTGGAAACTTGAGGGAGAAGGGGATTGTTAGTAATAAACCCATTGGAAACAATCGTTATAAATTCCTATTGAGTTTGCCACGATGGGCTAACTGACTTGACCTCATGCTCATATTATCATCCTCCACTGGTGTCCTACCACCTTAAACCGTTAGCGCACGGGTGCTCCATTTTATTATAAAAAAATTGGAACTTAAATTAAAAATCTGAACTTTTATTAAACAACCTTAATAGATGCTGCATAGTCACTTATGCAATTTAATACGAAGTGTTAAAAATTTTATTATCAGAAATCCCATTTCATTTTGGTTCAGTTTTGTTAGTATTTTTCTTCGCTATCGACTAAATATGTCCTTTATAACTAACCGTGTATAGGTAAACAACTTAGAATTGATATCAGTTGTTAGTCACGCTTTAGTTCCATTCATTCTGAAAAAAACGTACATCTGTCATGTCTACTTCAGATATAATTCATTGGAAATGAACGTATCAGCCAGCGGGAATCTTTCCGGACTCTTTGTTAGATCTACTTCTACTCTATTCATTCCAGTAAAACATTAATTTATCGTTACTTTTAATATATCAGATGTTTACATCAGATGTTCATTCTTTGGTTAGATATTTTTTTATAGTATACACCAGCTGTTGTAAGGGCAGAAGGTAACACAAATATTATTTATGAAGTTACAAATAAATCCATTATTTGATATTTCTATCCTTGACAAATATAATAATTTATTGTACTATAAAGTAATACAATCAAACCGAAGTTTGTATCGTGCGAGGATTGAATATGCCACAATCGGAATGTAAGACGGTAAGCGAATCCACTAGACCACTGATTTCATCACAGTTGCTTCTTGAAGCTTACTTTTTCATCAATAATTAAATTCATACATGATAAATCAATGCGTAATTTATTCAAATACTCGATAAAATTAAATTTTCTACGTTTAATACTAATAAATGTTTACTAATTAAAAAAGGCAAATAGTAGGTACATAGTACCAATACCAAGGTACGTATTTTAAGAGTACTTCGTACCCTGTATGCTTGTGTACCAAATAAGAAGTAACATAAAAGGCCTTCTCGATTACGGTAGATACTAAACTCCACTAGATCCTATTATGAGTCAGCTATAGTCCGATAATGGTATGCTGCTAACGTCCCATTACTGATGTCCCATACCGATTGATAACAATTCCCTTTTGTTAGTTCAACATTACGCTTCGTCAAACTTAAACGTTTTATGTTATTTCTAACATAAATATTTATATGCAGTTGAAATACAACAAAAAACCTTGTGAACATAACTTTATAAAACAATGTCAAAAGTGGTATATTTTGTTTTATTGATATTTGCAGTGTTAGGTATAGTATTTGGAAGAATTGTGGACAAGAGAAAATGTCCGGAAGTGAGAGCTGTACCGCACTTTGACCTGTCACAGGTATATTATACTATTTATAGTATTCTTATATATATGTTAATGTATATGTATGTATAGCACTACAGACAGTCTCTTTGTCATGTCGGCCGAAGAATGGGCTGCTTACGTAATCTTGGCTATGGAGGAATAGTGAAGTTGACCGAGTAGTCTGTGAGGATACCAGGTATTTTACTGAAAGGAGAACGGTTTACCACTCTGTAAAAATTGACACCATGTAAATTTTACTTTATTTTTAGCATTTAGCATCATAGATCTGAGACATATGTTTACATAAAAATAAATATATTTTGTGTATGTTTTGATTTGGGCGAACCTAAAAAATGCAAGCTTCGCTATAAATGCTCTTTCAGATAAAAAATAAATACTCAAAATTTAGATCTATATCTTCTATTGAAAAAAAAAACTAAACTATTTAAACTAAATTCTATTCTACAACTATACGCATCACAAATTGTGTCCCACATTATTTACTTAAAGCATGGATAAAATTCCTTTAACCATAAGGAATGTAGGGTCGGTACCCCATTTAACACCCTTTATCCTTTGAAACTATCCCCGGCTCAATAGAGTGAAAAAGTGGCAGTCATAGTAATAACTAGAGGGCAAAATAATAAAAATAAATCTTTAACTCTTTGTAGTGAAATTGCTGATACAGGGGTTTTGTTTTCTTGTTAACCTACTTTTAAAATAACAAGATTTATATAATTATTTTTCATATGTGTTTCGCGATATCTTTGTAAAATATAAAACAAATGAGTTTTATATTTGTTAATGATGAGTTTAATTAGGATTGACAACTAAAAGCGTAATTATTGATTAAGTTGATTTCTAATTAAAGACGTCAAGTTCGTGAGTTTGAGATATTGTAGGGATAATCACATAATGTTGGATAGCTCATTTATAGGACCAGCAAAAACTAATGTTACAAAAACGAGGAAAATATATCAGAGTCGAAGTTGCGTGGGACAGCTAGTTACCTATATAGATACATTATATCAATTGTTTCATCAAAATTACTAATCAAAGTAATTGACTTTCTATATCAATAATTACCTATACATTATTATATTTTCAATATAATTCACAAAAGACGTGTTTATACTTCTAAATTAGAAATGCGAAAATTTATACAAAAAGACGCTTCAGATATACAGATATACAGACATATAGTATCTTAAAAACACTGGTTACATTCTCTAAATTAGCCCCAACTATGTGTTATAGTAAGTTTTATATTTTTTAACATTAATGCGTTAATTGTGTAGGTGCCGGATGTGTGATTGATAACAGCTCTGTGCTATTAATTATTTCCACAAGCCAGATATTACTTAATCGAACTTCGTATGCCATGTATTATAAATTACATATAATAATATACAATATAATAACTTTACAATGTTTTTTATATAATTGGAAAAGTAAACAAACTGACGGCACTGCCAAACGTAATTTTTAATATATGTACATATAAGTTACACTATCATACTGTGCTACCACTCTAGTATTGACATTCCGGAGAACTAAAATGTCATGCTTATCCTGTAATTTCACTGTCTTATCTCAACCTACAACAGAAACACGTGTAATACAAAGCAAGTTGCTTGTCGATTGAAATATGTAGAGAGTGGGACTCAGCCAAACTTTAGACCAAATCTGAGTAATGTATGTGTTATTATAGATCGTTATTTCTTTTTAGTCATTTCTGACATCACGATCATGTGTTGTGATAATAATATCATAATATATAATATATATTTTTTTATTATTTAAATATTCTTGAGCCTATTCAACAGACAGATGAAATCACAGTGTATGAAGGCATAACATCTTAATCCTAAGGATTGTTGGTTGTTTACTTTTGAAATTTAAAAAAAGACCGTATAATAACATCACAAAACTCGGTCAACCAACCAGAATACATGTAATATACACCTACTTAATCTGAAGGTCGATTAAACTATTCTAATATATACACATAAAGGAATATCAATTAGATAACGGTTTACTTAAAATGAACTTAACATAAATTATTTAAATTCGATATTACTTAGTAGGTTAGCTAAATTATGAATTTATCTGCTGTTTATTGTACATGTCTATATAAGCTCAGCATTAAATTGAAGGGATACATATACAGAATTTATTACTTTGATATTAAATAGATCTGTGTTCTGGAGGAAGTTTTTATAATGAGATAGATTGAGCATAAATATATAGACCAATTGAATACTAATATCGATTGTATGTATGTATGTTTATTTGACGACCGGTGGTCTAGCCGTCTAGCATACCGCTTTGCGTCCGATGGTCGCGGGTTCGATTCCTCGCACGGCACAAACATTTGTATTCATGAATATGATTGTTTGTATCGGTTTGAATGTTTTCTATGTATAATATGTTTTTACGAAAAAAAAAATTATCTATGTATTTGTATCAGTTTTCTAGTACCCATAACACAAGCTTTTGCTAGCTTAACTTGGTTCTAGATGGCGCTGTGTGAATTGTCCTGAGATCATTATTATTATAGTAGCACACATAAGAACATGCACACTTAAATAAATAATAAAAAACTGACTTTCCTGAGTGTCTACAACTAGGAACTTATAAGTTATTATTTTTAAGTAAAAAAAATCCGAAATTTGTAAAAACTACATACATTTTTTAGTAAAAACTTTAATACCTACTCTATTTTAGGCAAATTACGCTGACACAGCTATGTGAATGTGTGAAACTTGAAACAATATAGTGTAGTGCAGAAAGCTAATATTTTTATAACTTTAGTTAATTAAGGTCGAGATTCGTATAAGGGCGAAACATACATAGTAATATCTGCTATAAAGTTTGAATTTGGAACATTATAAAACCACACGCAAGAAGTTTACATATTAAAACTATGTAATATTATGTTATCTGTGTTAAAACTAAACTGACTTCTGATAACTGAGTTGATAACACAAAAATAGTACATATATATATATCAATTATTCTAATAACCATTCATAGAATTATATATTTCAAATTCATATAACAGGTGCGGTCAGCCTTCTCATTGATGTCTCCCCATATCATTTGCATACATTATTCAATACACTTATTGTTACAGTACACTCATTTGAAAGCCGACTGCTGAGTCACATGTTCATCATTTCACTTTCTGTTCGTTGCACTGATCACTATTACACATTTTTTAAGTTGTCAGTTAATACAGTTGCTCTATTATAATTTAACGTAATAATTAATATATAGGTATGTTTTAATCCTTACTCAGTAATCAGTAGTGTTTGTTAATTATTATATTATACAATATGCGATTTGTGCAAATAAAAACATATTATAAATAAATATTCATTTCATTTCATTTCAAGGCAAAACTAGAGTTAATTTAAAACTTAGTAATTAAATTTCTACTTCGCTTCTTCAAAATAATTTAACTTCATTATTACTATGTAATATCATATGCAATATCAGCAATTAATCTTAAGAATTCCATACTATAGTGACTTTCCTTCTGACATTTGTAGATGTATATATGGGCACTGTATATTGATTTACCTTATCCAATCCATTTATGTTATCCCTGCCAAGTAGCTTTGTATTGTATAAATGTATCTATTGTCTTATTCTCTTTGATATATCATTCGACAATCCAGCCTAATGTATTTTTGATTTCATAGAAATAAAGGCAGATACATAATAATACACCTCCTAGGCTCGAGCAATCGTACGCGAAACACGAAATATAATAAAAGTATTTAATATTTGAGTTGAAATTTGACTTAGTTATGTAATAATATATATCACTTAAGAAAATAATTTGTTTAGATGAAAAGAGCAGAAGAAAATAAAATTCAATAGTAGTATTTGTCGGAACGCCTTTCGAATTTGCAATAGCAATTCAACGTAACGTCAACATAATATGAAACATTTTAATAATGATATAAGTTCTATTTAATAATACCTAATAGAATCATTGAAATTACTACTAAAAATAATTTCTAAGTCTCTTCAGAAATACATCTATTTAAGATTAAATACAATTTCTTATCTATATATGTATAAAAATGAACGTAGTCAAGGCATCATGCGTGAACGTCTGGATCGATTTCAGGATAAGATTATGAACAAAAAAATTAAGGAAGTTGCTTGGATTTTTTTTAATTGTACCAATACGATCTCAATATTTATATTTAAGACAGAAAAACTTGTGTCAGAAATCATTATCGAAAAGAGTTAACAATAAAAAGATTGTTCTTTATTCGATTTCTCCATCGGAACACATAGCTTATATTTGAAATAAAAATATTTATGTATTGAGAATTTATTTTCCTCTTTTTCTTCCCTTAGTTGCTTGGAGATTGGTACGTTGTGGAGTATTATGCGAGTGAAGAGGAAGCTCTGTCTTATAGCTGTATGAGAGCTGTCTTTACAGAAGATGACCACGTCCAAGCAGAAGGTAAATTATTTTCACTTTGTAAATGTTTAACACTAGTAAGTAGATCTTTGTTGGGATTTCCAAAGCATCGGGCAGTAAAATTCAAAATGCAGAACGTTGTCATAATATCACGACCTACTTACGACTAAATGCTGCTTTGTGGACAAAAATATTATTAAAATTAAATATTTAGGGTTCAGACGTAAATTTTAATGATAACTGCTATAAAAGTAAGATAAAATGTCACTACTTCATCATAACTTTTAATAGATGATGTATTATTAATAAAAAGGATGTCCCTAAGAGAAATGTCAAGAATATTTCAGACGGGAAACGTAAAAAAAACATATAGAGGCAGTTATTTATTTTTGTTGAATGTGTTTATTAAGATATAAATATTTAATCTATCTATCTGTTATAATCCAGTAACGAATGAAACCAATATAAAACGAAGATACCTCCTGAATTAACTAATAAGGACAAACATATAACCTTCTTTCTTCGTACATATTCTATACTCTTAGTTTAAAGTATAATATGTAATATTCTCTTATCCATCATTACATAATATAAAACAAAATCGCTGATGCTGTCTGCCCGTCCCTATGTATGTTTAATTCTTTGAAATTACGCAACGGATTTTGAAGCGATTTTTTTTTAATAGTTAGAGTGATTCAAGAGGAAGGTTTATATATATAAAACATGTACCACCGGTGCGAAGCCGGGGTGGGTAGCTAGTATAATAATATTTATAACCTAGTATAACTCATACAGTACTATCTAGTCCCAAGCTAATTACAACTTGTGTTATGGGTATTCAGACAATTGATAGAAATTATTAAAAATTAGAGCACCGAGGCCGTAGACAAAATATTAGTACCCAGTAAAATTTTGACTATGTTATTTTGTCTTTTATTAGATTAATGTAATACTTCTGAATATAGTTTCTGATGTATTTAATTCTAGATGGCACAGTGGAATGGACGCCTGGTGTCACTATGAACTTCACTTACCGCTTCGCCGACGATCCCTTGGGCGAGAATTTACTTGGCAACATCACTTGGCGAGTGGACTTGAATGAACCGGCACACTGGACGCATTCTGAGATTACTTGTAAGTATTATTTCAATTGAAATAAATAAACGGTATTTTACCTAACTGTAGTAAAAATTGTTTCTCTTATAATATGTAATTTTGCATTCTATTCTATCAAACTTATGGTCATCGGCCATCCGTGTAGTCACTGTTACTGTCACAGCGTATGCTGAGTGTAGACCATATTATTACGATTTTATAAATTCATATAATTAATGATTAATTGACAATAAATTTATTTTTCTTTTCTACCTTTTATCTCTTGAAATCGTCATTAGCTATTAATTACCCTATAAACCGGCCAGTAAATTCAATCTGGCAAACACGAAAAAAAAAAGGAAAACAACTTTGTGTCATTTATATATCCGACTGGATCTCCGATGAAGATTACCCTGATACCCAACTTGCCCCCTGCCACGTATTAAAATATACCGAGCGAAATGTGGGCATCAAGTGTTGCGTGAACACAACATTTACAATGAATGACTATGTCTCTGACTACCTCATTTGAAATGATAGTCGTGATGGTGTGTATGTATGAATTAATGAGGGCCTATACTATATTTCTATTTTATAGTATTATTTTGATACAATCTGCTGATTTTACTCTTATTTGGCATAAAATGGCAAAGCCTCAAGCTAACAGGGTCGTATCGTGAAAATGTGATCATTTACATCATGCTGTTATTCCTATGTGCCTATACCTACATGTTACTATTGCCACATTCCCACAAGTTATTTTGTAAGTATGTTTGAGATTCCAGTTCCATAAAAAGTCGCGGGATTTTAAGATGACGTGTTCAAGCAATCACAAGTCTTAATAAAACACTCCTTAAGATAAACAAAAACTAAGCTAATTTTACGAAAACAGGGTTATTATATTTCAGATGATGGTATATATAATACATACGTATTAGACACTGAGTACAAAACTTGGGCACTTTTATTACACTGTGCTGAACAAAGGGAGGGTACGAGATTTCTCAGTGCGTTCGTGTTATCAAGGAAGACAAGCTTAGCCAAGAATGTGTTGGCTTATTTAAGAGACAAGTTGCCAAGGTTAGTTTAATTTATTTAATCTTGAATCTTAATTCTTGATTAATAAAAACGACTTTGTGTTTTATGTGTTTTGTGCATAATACAAAACACATTAGTTTATCTGTTTGAATTGCCTGAGTAGAAAAGTCTAACTAGGGTTTTTAATAAATATGTATTTAAGTATTATACTTTAGTATTAGTTGATCCAAGTCTGGTTAGTTGTGACTAAATGGCTTGTTATAGAATGTTCTAGAAGGCTACTTATTGTTAAGTATTATTTTTCTAAAAAAATTGCATAAGTTTATCTGCTTTTTTGAGATAAAGGATAGCCTATGTTCATTGGCGTCATGCGGCCATGAGTTTTGAACAATTAGAAAGACAAATAATACAATATGTATGGATTTTCAATTTGAAAATAGTATGGATTTCCTCTAAATAATTATATGTTAATTTATGCATTTTAATATATTATATAAAACAAGTAATTAGATAGTCATGATTTATTAAGGTATTTAAATCGATAGTATCTAAACATGGATTTAAATAACATAACAAACCTATTTACCCACATCATATTGTAAATACCTACATAGTTTAATGCTGATCAATAGGAGAGATGGCAGAAAGCCAGTACTCCATAGGTATTGAAGCCAAATCGCAACGAAAACCGTTATCCAGGAAAGTTGTTAGAATTTTAAAATTGACAATGTAAATCAATACCTATAAAGGTATATCAAAACAACATCTAGTAACTAACTTGAACTTGTATTGTGGTTACGAAACAGCTTATATTCGTACTTATATTTTTTTATACTGATATAAATAGGCGTATACAACACCAATTTTTAATGTATGGAGTTCGAACTCGCGACATCACAAATATTGAAAGTAGTTTATGAAATGATAATTATGTTGAACTGTTTCAACTGATTTTGAAAATGTTTTAATTTTGCCCAGGACTAGTCATACAACGCCATCTAGTCCCAAGCTACTACTAGCTACTAAAGAACTGATATAAATAAAATTATTTTTTGTAAATGTCATACGTATAGAAAACACCCAGACAGACAAGCAAGCTCATGAATACTAATGTTTGTATTGTGCGAGGAATCGAACCGCGACCTTTTAGATTAGCGGAGTACAATGTGAATTGCTAAACCACTAAGGCTGTCAAATTAAGAGTGTCTTTGCCTCAATTTGACTGTTTTTGTGTCATAAAATCTGAAATTGCTATATATTACTGCTTGTAAAAGTCCTTAATGTTTGCTAAAAGATAATATAAAACAACTATACGTAATAACTGTCAAGAAAGTATAACTTACCAAACTTGGTTAATATGCATGAAACATGTTAACCAAGTTTGGTAAGTTACATAAAATATTTATGATATATGCTATTATGTTTTTCTATTTGCATAATATAAAATTACAAATAGATTACCAGTATTATCAATTCACATTCAATAATTGGCTAATTATAAATGAATCTATATATTGTCTATGATAGATAAAGAAAAAAGATAGGTCTAGGAGAAAAGTATTGTAGTAACATCACTCAATTTATATGCAATTTATTCAAAATTATCAGATGACTTTTCACTAATACTAAACAAAACGTGCAACACTAACTCGAAATAACTTGTTCATTCTACTTTGAATGGTAAAAAAAGAATAATCAGAATCGGTTCAGAACTGAAGACGCTACATAACACTCAAAAGCAAACAGTGAAATTGTAAACCTTGTTTATTGAAAAACATTTCAATACATTGAATCCAACTATTGCCATTCATATAAAATATTTTTGCAGGTATGATGTTGACATCAATTATGTATTTCCTATACCACATAAGGACTGTTCCTCGAAGCCAGCAATAGCCGACTTCTCTCCAATACTTGTGGAGGTGAACAGCAAGATCCCTAGGAAACCTGGAATCAGCTACAAAGTAGCATTCGGACATTAGACTTCTCAAGTTAACATAGAAAATTAATTAATTATTCCTTTAAAATCATATTAATTTTATAATGTGTATAGCTACAGCTACTAAAAATTTTAGTACCGTTTCATAATGACATTATTGACAATCTCGAATATTTTTGGAGTAACTGAATACCAAAGTATTATAACAAGGTACAAAGTTTTTTATTGTTAGTGCAAACGACTAATGTAATAGTTTAATAAAGAAATATTATTGAATGTTTTATATTTAACATATTTCTATCCTTGCTCACATTTTCTGAGTTGAGATTATCATATAATTTCATCATATCAAACTAAACAAAGCTTGAGTTTGAGACTGATTAGTTCGTTTGTTTAGTTTAGTTTGTTACTAAACATTTTTTAAAACAAATAGTTACCTATGTATTTATAACTAGAAAGATTGTCGCTATTTACTCGTAGATGCTTACATTATGAGGCTTACTTTGTAGCTTATTATTTTGTATACTAGAATTAATATCATATTATATTTATATATATTAACTTTTTAATATTAAGTGATGTATTTGACATAACCTGCCTACCTAATACCTAACAACTTGAAATGCTGGGGGGAAATGGGATTGTTAGTAATGTGGACTAAGGAACCCATTACTAGCAATGTACCATGTCAGGTTGACCTCCACCCGGTTCCCCCTGGAAACCATCGTGATAAATTCTTGGTGAATTTGTCACGATGGGCTGTCACGACGTCCTGACCTCATGTACATCTTATCATTCTCCACTGGTGCCCCGCCAGCGTATACCGATAGCGCAGGCGGGTGCAGCATTCCATTATCATCCACAAAAAAAACTTGAAATGCTTAGCGATTTAATGAGCTTATAAAAGCTTTTCATTTACTGGAACTTATTGCAATGTTATTAATTCTAAGAACGTATCACACATTCAGTTCGTAAACAAACAACAAGAAATTTCGATAAAGACTTATTAGAATTCCATAAACGTCCATTTTGGTCTGTTATTACGAGCGAAGATATAATTGCCTTTCTAGTTCGCTACAATAAGTAATGAGTGAAAATGAGAGAACAATAGCTTTGTCTCTTGTAATGACAATGAGCTTTTTCTGTTGAAAAGAGTAATTAGCATGCAAGCAGTATTATTAGTATAAAGGAAAAAAAAACTGTGTAAACTTTATCACTAATCATAAAAATACCCGTTGACAATTCACACAAGGCCATCTAGTCCCAATGTAAGCAGAGCTTGTTTTCTGGGTATACATACATAATAAACATAGAAAACACCTAGACCGATACAAACAATCATACTCATGAATACAAATATATGTACCGTGTGAGGAATCGAACCCGCGACCATCGGAAGTAAAGTGATGTTCTAAATCGCTAGACCACCGAAACCGTCACAGTAAAACAAAATAGAGGATTCAAAGTAAAAGATATTACTTATTTATCCTGGTGGCTTTCGAAACTGTAGGCGTATGGGGCCGACGCAAAAAAATTTATAAAGCAAGTAAGCAAGCGTATTGTGGATAGAGGCCATGATCCCCGTTCCGGATCGTATCTGGCTCAAAGGATTTCTCTGGCAATTCAGCGCGGGAATGGTGCAGGCGTTATGGGAACCATAGGGCCGGGTACGAGACGGGACAGATTGTCTTGTCCTTTATATTTTTTATTGTATGATTTAATTAATTTTTTTATACATAAATGATAAATGTTTGAATTAATAAAAAAAATGAGTATGTAATGTAATAAATATACCCGTAGATATATTTTAAATATAGTACATTGTTTTAAGGCTATATTTTTTTAATGTAATTGAATAGCGAACAAATTGACTGTTGTCGATGGTAAGTGGCAACCGTCTACGTATTTCGTTGTTCGTTCGTATGCGCCGTCATCTATCCAGAGAACTAAGACTTAATGCCTTCGTACCATGTAATTTTAATGGCATATCTCATCCAGAGTCTCACTCTTCAACCGAAACATCCTACTAATCCAGATAAAACTAATATTCTATATGAATTTTGCTATAAATTATAAATTACCAAATCTTACTAACATTATAAACACAATAGGCTTGTTTTCTTTCACGCCAAACTACTGGACTGATTTAAATTAAACTCGGAAAACATATAGATCATATTCTAGATTGACACCTAGGATCATTTTACCAGTATCCGTGTGAGCAGCGCGGCGAGATGTTTATTCCCACCTACTCGTATAATTAACAATGGTTTAACAATTTGTCTTAGGCAAGTATGAAAATTCAATACTTAAATTGCTTATGAACAACGATAGGGCACGCACGATTGTTCTGTGGCATAATTAGTATGCTACAGGGTAATCGTCTGGGCCCAATACAATAAAACAGGTACATATACAGTGTCAACACATCATTCCTATGACATTCAGTTTTGACCGTGTCTAACTGGAAACAATGCCGTTAAATAAAACAGTCTTTCATGTAAAACATCGGAAACTTTTCAGAAATCTTATAATGGCGACGTTTTTCATAGAATAATTGAAAACAGAATGTCCGGTCGTTTTTGTCTAAAATATATTGCTGTCTGTCTCATAATTTGTCGATTGTAATTGAAAATATCATTCACACATCTAAAAGGGCTAAAAGAAAAGAGATACAGGTATCAGAGTATCTCTTTGTTTTTGGCCCTCACTATTGGTGCCAAAGCTAAACTATACTATACTAAATTATTAAATTATTTTATTATTAGCTTATTCCTAATTTAGTATACTAAAACTATACTAAATTAGGAATAAGCAAGAGTTTTATTCCAGCATACACAAGAATTTATACAATAACAAACCCATTTTAAAATTTCGGTTGTTTTGTTAATTTTCAAATAAAGTTTACTTTGAAAAAAAAAAGAGCAAGACATTATTATAATACATGTGATGGCGATATTTTCATTTTCAACCAATCTTATTATGATCCCGTCGTCGTAGTGTCATGACTTAGATTTCAAAATCCATGATTTCGAATCTTAGCGGTATCAATTGACGATAATTAACGGTATAAATTTATATTTCTGACTCACTTCTATAATGGAAAGATTATTAAATTAAAATCCGAGCGTCGCCATTTTTCCTGCCAATTTTAATTCAAATATGGCAGTGAAATTTGGACATCGTTTGATTGCTTTCACTATAATGTAAACAGTTGATATCATTTACTCTGCCTACCCCAATTGTTATAAGAACTGTGAAGTATAATAAGCAAAAACTACTACATAAAAAAGACTGAAATTATAATGATCCTATTTTGTGTTCAGTTACGGAATTCAAAATAGGTTAAAACTAAAATTCTTAATTATGAAGTTCGCTGTCTAATCTTTGTTTAACATGCATATTACGTAAAGATTATTCAAAAGTAATTCAGTAGTTCGCCATGGATATAAGAGGCGTTAAACAGTCAACCATAGAGAACTCTATCGAAGATGGCTAAAGTGAGGCTGTGTTTATTATTATTAGTGACAATTGCATCCCATCGCTTGGCTGCTGGATCGGTGTGTTATTTATATTATTTACTAGAAATTTCTACATAATAATGGTGTTATTTTTTTATGATAGCGAAAATTATATTTCGGATAACTTCTTTTCTTTATGTGTTTACATATACTAAACCATTATTTTATTTATTTCTACCCATAATAAAATCGCCATGAGGCGAAATCTGTGTGTTTGTCTGGTTGGTGTGTTAACTGTTAATTATTGACGTAAAAATGGCTGGAGAAAATACTATAAATGTAGATATTGTGTCGTTAAACATGTGCTAATATTAATTCATTCGTTAATGAAATAATTGGCAACTCTCTTATAATAAAAAAGTTATTAGTATAAGTTATGTATTGAAATCAATTGAAACAATTTTACCAAATTTTGGAATTATGTCCTACATTTGAATGTATTGTTTATTGCTTTGTAGTATCTTATAGCTCCAAATCGGTTAAGAAGTTTCTGGGATAACCGTGCACAAATGCACGAACAGACATAAATAAATCGAAATTCTAAAAAGCATTGTTTTGGGTTCCACGTTGATAAAGTCCCCCAAAAATAGTTGTTCCCGTATATCTGTCGATCAGTTATATTTTTATCATATGAAATGAAAATTATTTTGCCTTCTTCTTGTTTTTCACCCTCGTCTCTTCATATACTACCTACAGACAAAGATACTAATTTTGCATATACATTATTCTGTTATTTAGAGAATTAGAACCATACATCTTTTTAATAGGACTATATAATTAAAATCATACTTCTCAGTTCATTACATAATACATACATAGAAATAATAGACAAATATGTATTGTAATTTGCAAATTTCTTATAACAGCGATACGCGCTTAACAAAGACGCGAAAACAAATTGTAAAAGAATTTGTCACGTTATTGTTATCGCAGACACATATTGTAACATTTTATTTTTATAGAATAGAAAATAAAATGCTTTATTCAAATATACTTAATTTAAGCACTTTTGTCTTAGTTTTTTTATTCTACCACTCATTCGGTAAGTTGTCTCATCACAAGAAGAACGAGCAAAAATTGCGTGTTGCTCTTTTAAATAATTGTAACTTTACAAAAATATTATACTAGCTGAGCCCGTAACTATATACCTTTTTATTCTGTTATATGTATCTTTCATGTACCTACAGATCAATTTTATTATATGTATAAATATTCATTCAGATTTAGATAATTATGAAAAATTGTAATTTAGACGATGTGTTTGCGGTTGGTTTAGCAGCTTTTATATTCTGAAACTGTCTCTGATTATACCACCTGGTATAACAGTCGGAACATAAAAAGTATATTGAAAGCTGTTATATAAAGTTGCAGTTTCCTGTATGTTTACATAGAAGATAATAAATTTTATTGATGAATGGAGATTTATAAATGTTCTCAAGAAGCTCAAATAAAATAGACCGAAAACACAATTAAATAAAAAAACATAAATTAAAAATGTGTGTATGACTGGTTCACCACCATGATAAGCCAGTCAGAACGGTTAACGTTCCACTTATAAATTATTTCGTACCTGGTAAATTAAAAAATGTAGAGTCATTAGATAAAATTGTGATAAATAATTTCTTACAGCCATTCGGATTTTTATGCAGTTTACTATGCGACGATGATGACTCATCCAGTGATGATAGCTATGATGATATACTTGACGGCCTTTTCGACCCCTGCTTTGCCTGTCCTAGTGACTCGTCTGGGTCTTCTAGTCCTTCGGAAGCAGCTAATGAATCCGCCAGTGCGCCTGGTAAAACACCGGCACCTATCAACCTTATGATACGTAAGTCCCATATATTCGTAAAATCTAAGTCAAAATAATTTATTTCCATAGGAACCTTCGGCTTCATATGCACGTAATTTTTTTATCACTATCCCTACCGTCCAGTTCGGCAAGTTACTTCAATTGTGAAAGAAGTAGGTACTGCCATGAAACTCAGCTGGTACATTGTTTATTTTATTTTTGGTCTTCCATATAGTCGTTTACAGATTAATAGCTTCATTTTATAATAAACTTTTTGAATAAATTCAGGTTCCGCCTAAAAGTAACAAAAAATAGGCTACCTAGGCCGTGCTCATGCATTACGATTCTTAAGTAGTACCTCATTATTCCATCGTGCCCCGCAAAATGTACATTTCATTTATTTATTTTAGAATATTCTCCATTTTGAAGTTTCTTTCTAATAACAGATAATAATTTTAGCACCAGCCAACGGGCTCAACGTGTCACTAGAAAACATCGGTGGTTCATGGTGGTTGAACCTGTTCCCGTGGGCTGGGGGATCGCCAGGACAAGCAGCGACGCCCGCTCCTGTGAGTGCCACCCCTGCTGCCACTACACCTGGCAATGACACTGCAACTACAGCTGCACCTACAACTGCCAAAGCCTAATATAAATAATTATAATTCCTTAATCTAAACTATAACCGCCCTCAAATCAATTTAAACTATGAAACTTTATGTCATATACTATTAAATGTGTTGGCACTTATAATGATATGAATTAAGTGAATAATGATGGCTTCGGTGGTTTAGCGATTTAGCACACCTCTTTACTTTCGATGGTCGCGAGTTCAATTCCTCGCATGACGGAAACATTTGTATTCATAAGTATGATTGTATTTTCTGTGTCAATTACGCAAGCATTTAGAATTAAAAATGTATCTAAGTATGTATTTAAGTAAGTTCTCTAGTATCCACGAATCAAAATCTGTTTAGAAGGACTAGTTGATGCTTTGTCAATTGTCTTCAGTTTTTATTCTCAAAAGAAACAGGCAAAACAGAAGAATTAATGTAGGTATGTTACACGTTTGTCATGAATAAGGTAGTTAAAATCTAACTATATATAGTCGAAGGTCCATAAACATATATAGTCGAAGGTCACAGAACCCGTCATTCTCATTCCACTCCGATCAATCCGTCATCCAATTCAAACGCGAATCAAAATTGCGACGGCCTGAGCCGAGGTTCGAATCCCTAGCGGTGCTCTCAGACTAAAGTCATATCCGTTTGGTGGGAGTTGGCCTTTAGCCGTTCTATAAGGCCTTCCGCGGGTTTGAAGTGCCATCTGCACTCGCCCCCTATTATATATATATTGCGGTAAAGCTTTAAAGACCAGCTGCGTCCAACAGCGTTAGAGTAGTCCGAAAAAAACTCGTCATTCCAACGGTCTTAAAGTATCGTTAGAAAATACCAGTGAGTATCCCATGGACTGGTGCATCACGAGGACAAGCTGCAAGTGCCGCCACAATTGCTACTATATTTAGCAATGACACTGCAACTACCGTAGCATCTGCAACTACTCAAAACCAATAGAAATCACTATCTTCGTATATTACTCTCATTGATTTGGAGTTAAGGTAAGGGAAAAATATACTGTGTGAGGCGTGTTTTCGAAGATTTGAAGACATATTTGAAAACCTTTGACCACATATTTGAAGACATGTTGGCGCAAATAAAAGTGCCAGACATGTTTTCGAATACGTGTGCTCACAGGCAGTAGCTCCCTACAGAACTTTACTTAAGTAGAGCTACGCACACATTTGAATACTCACACGTTTTCATGCATGAGAAAATGCAAATATTTGTTCAAACTTAGAATATATTATGCCCAAAAATAAATGTCGTCACAATATTTGATACAATACATATTGACCTGCACCTGACCTTTGTATCCACTTGGTCTTATAAAAAAATCAACGAATTATTAAAATAGTAGGCCTTAACTGTTAGGTATTTTATAACTAGTCATAACAGGAGAATCAGTAGAAGTAATTAAACGTTAATATTATTTAACAGGCTTAGATTTATAACTTTAATGTTTAGAATGTTCTTAGTTAGCATAAGTTAGGGTATATTGTTATTTATTGTGGATATGTCAATAGTTTTATATTCTAAGTATATTTTTACATTCTAATAAAATAAACTAATTTTATATTTGTTTATTTTTCTAACAATTGACCCGTGATACCCCTGATGTTTCAGGCCTCCATGGGCTACATTAACCGTTTGCCATCAAATGGGCCATATGCTTGCCACTATCGTAGTATAAAAAAAAATCTAGCAGGTCATCAGTGGACGATGATAGGATGACCATACAGTTAGCCTATCAAACTACCACCGCGATGGTACACGTAAAAAAACATGACAATACGTCAACATTGATATACAACTTGTCTATAACTAGTTCACCTTCCATACAGCATGTCGAAATCTCATGTTACATGCAAATGTCAACTATAATAGTAATGTGTAGTGCATAACGAAGCATCCACTGCGTCACAGAATGCATCATTTATAATTATAAATTCAGTCAGTTTTAAGGTACACCAGTATTGACAACTGTTTAGTCGACTGCAGGCATATGTATAGGTACTGTAATCGTAACGATATAAAATACTGTCACAAAAATTCCCATTATTCATATAACAGACAGACTCTTATGATATTTCGAATCTCTGACGGTAGATTCGACATATCATAAGAATCGCTTATTCCTTTTAAAATGAGCTTATACCTACATGATTACAAATATACAAATTGAATTTTAAATACAATTGGCGATAATGTACTGACCACCATCATACGCTATTGCGTTTTTGTCAGAAGGATATAATTGATTTAGTTAATATAATTTAACAGATTAATCTTAACAAGTAGCACCCGTTCACAATTGTGAGGGATGAGCCAGTCATCATCATCTGTTACCTAAAAATGTCTCAAGGAATTATAACGATCGATCGATCTGACCTGATGGTATCGTGAAGACAGTACAATAATACCATACAATAATTATAGTACTGTCATCTCCATTGACTGTGATTAGATTGACGATTGGAGGGAGGAACTACTACTACAGACTAGATCACATACCAAACAAAATAATACGGGGAGGACGGAGGGTTTAATAATGGGGACTAGTACCGAGCTGCCGAACTTTATTTGTTATTTCGTAGTGAATTCGCCACGATGAGCTCACTAACTTCTTTCATGCTCATCCGGTCATCCTCCACTGGTGCCCCGTCAGCGTATGTTAATAGCGCAAGTGGAACGCTATATTCATCCATTAAAAAAAAGTGTAATAACTTGTATACGACAATGTCTTGATTTATTTCAAAATAAAAACCCCTTTTTAAACATTATTTTACACGAGCTCTATTTTCTGGTCTGGTAATTTCGATAGTTCCTAGTTCCTAGGAGTAGCTATATAATTACTATGTTAGCAACAATGTAGTTTTTAATGTTATAATACTGCTACCAAATTGAGCAAAAAATAGTACATAATAGTAAAAATTTTTAAGGTATAAATTTTCAAACTCCATGGCTCCGCGGCAATTCATTCAAATACGTAGTACACTTTTTTGCCACTTATGCAAGTGTTTTTATTGCTATTCTTTACCGTGTTGTTTGGCTAGCTATTTCTGTTGAGGAGTGACACGAAACTTAAGAAGCACCTATTTTTTTCTTTCACAATACTTTAAAATGCTATAGTTTTACTGTATCCACTTTTGAAGATACTTTTCTGTTTGTGTAATGCCACAGGGAGGTACATCTGGATATACACATAAATATATATTTAATAGATTCTGAAGATTTTGTATGACATCACAATTGTAATGAATATCAGATCACTAAGCTTTTGTTACGATAGGCTTGATGAATCGAGCGAAAATAAATCAATCATAAATTCCTTTTAAACAACTTATTGCAATTCACCAATTATTACAAACTTGATATTTTTGAGTACATTGATTTTTTACTACAACTGTAAGTAACCAACTGTTAATAACTAACAAGCAATGTATACATAAATAATCGACAAAGATGTATTAATTCGATGCTCTCAAGTTTTTTGATACAGAGGTAAGATCCTTTTAAGTTGATAAAACCCGGATTCATGTCAATCAAGATTCTATTGAGACTTTTTATCTGAACGTTCACAGAGATGCATTATTTATATATGTTTATGATCAATGAGAAATGATTAAAGTAAGTTGCTCTCTATTATAAATTATTACTTAACGACTAATTCATCATACTTGTCAAATTACGGCTTCTTACTTTGATATATATTTGATATAGTAATATTCTATTAAACATGTGGGTAGTCTCACACATAATAGTATTTAAATGAATTTGATTGCAAAATATTTGAATCTTGAATTATTTTTGGTTACTCACATTCACACTGTTCTCATTGAACACAAAACTTTGTATAAACTTGGTATAAAATCTCTCGTGTGATCTTTACATCTATATCTTCTGCTACCAAATATGCTGTTTAATTTTGTAAACTATGTTCTTGTTTTGAACTTACTGGGTATAAAGCTGTAATATTTCAGTCCTCGGAAACACATAGCATAAACGTATCACATACATTACTAGTACTTTGTGATAACCATGGTGTTATGTTATTCATGTTATAGGCAAACGGTTACTATAGGAGTAATCCCACATACTCCCTCCTCGGCTCTCCGGCGTGTGATATGAAGAATTTTCCTCACTGTAAAAAAAGCAAAAGGGATTGTTAGCAATCAGAAGTAGCAGCCTCGTTGCTAACAATGTACCATGTAAGGTCCACCTACACGCGGTCCCCTTAGAATGATGAATTTCAGATAATTTCGCGACAATAGCACAGGCGGTGCACCATACCATTTTCATCTATACATCTATACATATAAATAAAATTAGAGTGTCTGTTTGTAATAGAAATAACCATTTTTTACTACATGCACATGAATATACGGTACATATACCAAAATTTTATTTTTATAATTTTTGTCTATCTGTCTGTCGATCTGTGTTCCGGCTTATCTCTGAAATGATCGACTGATTTTGACGGGACTTTTTTTGGCAGGTAGCTGATGTAATAAGGAGTAACTTAGGCTACTTTTATTTTAGAATATTTTTTTTATTTTAGAACAATAAAGTTAAATTCCACGCGGACTAAGTCGCGGGAATAGCTAATCCATAATAAAAACTGTTGCTATATCCACCAGATATTCCATCAGCTTGTTCTCCATTCCAGTCAATAAAAAGAAATATTTGTTAGGAAACATAACAAAATAATATTAAAAAGGAAACCAAGGGATTTCAATCGTAATATCCAATATATATTAAGTTACATTTAAATGGGTCAATGGTTATATTTCAAAATAATCTGACGGCATAGTTTTTTTTTGCAAGTCCGTTGCTCAAAGAATCTCTAACCTTATCCCTTCACAACACTTCTGAGAAATGTACGAGAATACCCTTTCTAATTAGCTGTTTAGTCCTTTATAAACAAAAAAAATATGGCGAAGATAAATTGCTCACAAAGATGCTGAGGATTCAACGACCGGTTGATTGCTTGCTGCGCATACGCACCGGATGCCCTTCAAGACTTTAATTAATGTTTCTGTCGCAATATTAGAAGACTGCGTTTGTATTAAATACTGAAGGGTTGGGCCGTAAATTCAATAGCGGAATTAAGCAGTTAAACATTTAATTCACTGTCAATAATCAGTAAACAGACGATAGAGTAAATAGTCACGGTAAATAAAATAACGAAATTATTTACTCAATTTAACTATTAAATAGAATATCTTCCACCCCTAATTAACTAGATAAATTCTAGTATACATGTCAGTATTACTGTAATGTTATCTTTAAATTTTCGCGAACATATCAATACCTGTATTAGTATATATGATGTAGATTTTCGACAATGTTCATTGTCAACTCGCAGCTGAAAAACAGGAAACAGAGACTGCGGATACGGATGTCAAATATTTGTATTTAATTTAGTTAAATAACAATGTTTGAACAATTTAGCATAGGCTGATTGCTTTCTTTAAGATTTCTTTATTATTATTTAATAGTATTTGTTTGGTTACATAGGATTCGATTCGGCCATCTCAACATCTTCACATTGAAACTCGGGAACATCTAAAGATACTATCATTTAATTCAACATTTATATCGCTGAAGTAAAAAATCAGTCAGAAATTATGACATTATTGTTGGTAATAGTTGTAATATTGTAATCAGGATTATTATTGTTACTATTTGAGCCGCCAAGGAGCTTGCTTCGTAAGATGTTTTTCGGTTGAAAAATGAAATAAACGATGGATCGTAGATCTCTAGATAACGACGTATGAGAGATATTACGGTGTCAAATAACTAATGACTCTAGTGTTGTTCATGTATATTAGTATCGGTTAACATCAGGTAGGCTGTCAGTTTATTGGCCTTCCAAACACACAAAAAAATCCCATACGGTGCTCCACGTCGATTGAGCAGTTCCTCTTCTCTCTTATTGAATTTATCAACATGGAAAAAATGATGTCTATTTGTCATGCATAATGTTGTACTTCACTCTGTCATCCGTCCATTCTGTTCCATGTACGTTAGATCAACATTAGCGCAACAAGAAGGTGTTGCTCCATCTATATATATCATAAAGTTGGTATTTCCAAAGGTTACCTTTATCTGTAAGCTCAAGTTAATCGTCGAACTAAGTAAGTAGGTAACTAAATAAAATGTTAATATAGGTCAAAATGAAGTAAACAGTGAAGCGAAGAAAAAAAATACACCTAAATAGTTGCAACTCGACATGCATTACAAATAAAAACATTTCGTGTCTCACATCCATTAGGGTGTAATTTTGTCTGTCGTTTACATATACAACAATAATAAACAAGATGGAATGTCGATTGAATGCAGGAAGACGATGTACATTTTTTAATTAGGAAACTGACTCGGTAAAAGCAGCTTTCCGTCATCGACACAGGCAGGAAAGCATCATCGATGTGCATTAATGAAGCCAAGGCACGAACTGAGTGGATACGATGCGTACGCGCAGTCGAACCGCGCGGGTCGAGCCAAGCGCTCGCAGTCTGTCAAATCTGATTTCGACTCCGAATGTTAGGGGTCAATGACACGTTAGGGTGACTACGATTTATACGTCAGTTTAAAAAGTATTAAACTATTTTTTTCATCTGTTATCTATTTGTGTGTGTTATAAATTATAATATTATTTAAAAACTTACGGAATTATTTATTATTCCTTCAATATACCAACAAATTTAGATATTTAAAAAAAATGTTTATTAACTGCCTATTTAGCTAATTATTAAATTTACATTATTAAAAGAAATCATACGTACATTATTAAAATTGTAGATGACTGTATAAAACTTTAGGATTTTATTCAGATGTGTGCAATTTAAATTCAACAAATATCTAAAATATAATAAAAAGTTTTTAAGGTGTTTTTATAAAAAAAATCAATTAGTAAGTGGACCCATATAAGTTAAAAAATTTAATGGAAATAGTAACTTAGAATTGGTTTGTTAATCGGTCGCATAGTATCAGTCTTTATAAATACGTCATTGGACATCTGAGGTATCCATATTATCTGAATTTGTTTTAATTATAATAATTTTACTTTTGCAATACAGACAGTGTGCAATGTCACTTATCAAATTTCGATAACCTATATACAACTAAACTATATTCATTGCGACCTTTCCATGCCTATGTTAATTTACTTTTTAATTTGATTTTAACACTGATACAATAAAAATCGCTTCTTCAAACGTTTTGTACTCAAACTAGGTAATTATTAGCTTATAACACATACAGGTGTATGAAAAAATATCAGTGAAACAATACTAACCTATCATAATTTTATTAGTAGAAATGTTTAATTTGTGAAGATATTTTTTTACTGAACTGTGTGCGTTGTTTTAAGTGAAAATGACATTCAAAATGCAAGTAAAGATTTTAATGGTGGTGATATTTTTAATGATGGCGCCTATGGTTTTGTCACGGATAAGAAGATTCTCGAAACATCAATCGAATTCGTTATCGAAAGCCCGATGTGATCTTATGTGTATTGATGTTAATAAGGAAACTAGAAGTAAGGTGAGTTCGATACAATTATATTAAAATACATGTTTATACTAGAGTAGGGGGTAGAATATAAACGTTGCGGTTAGCAAGTTATCGGAGTGATAATTGAATCTGTCAATTTATTTACGATGAGATGAATAATATTCTCCGCTCGTATTTAACATCGATCAATTTAAAATGCAGTTTTGATTCAATCTAGGTTTATAATTAAATCTTTTGTTTTATATCTACGTATGTAGTACTACGTATGTATGGTAGTGTAGTTTATAGAAATATCAGCATGTATTATTTATTTATTGTTAATGTTAGTAACGAATTACCACTCATTAACTAATCATAGAAATAATTACATTAGGAACTTCTTGAAATTTATTATTTTTGTAAAAAATATCATTACACACATGCTGAAATAAAAAAAAGTTTATAGAAGCCATCAAGAGAAATAAAATTATCGGTCTACCGTAGATACGGGGCAAACTGGCATGCATTTTTACTCTTTATTTCCAGGAATTTAAATGTTGCTTGTATAAGTTATATACGCAATATTTCGAATTATTATATTGTAAAGGGTTTCCCGTTATCAATAATTAATGATTAAACGAACTTACCTAAGTGAAGTTCTATCATAATTATACAAAGCGCTTCGTCCAAAGAGATTAGTACTAAATATATATAACAACATGTAGTAACGCACAAGTGACACCGCTTTTGCACTATTGTTGAGAGGTTACCTCCTTTTTTTTTTGTAGGTGTATTGTTAACTTGGTTACTTCATTTAAGTTTCCGTTCATTAAGTTTAGAGTGAAATATCCTTTGAAGATTTAATTTGCTCATTGAAATATTTTTTGGTGTTATTATGATGGGCATAAAAATTACATTGGGTAGGGCGGGAATATATACTAATCTCTTCGGACGAAGCGCTTCGTATAATTATGATAGAACTTCACTTAGGTAAGTTCGTTTAATCATTAATTATACTTTGCGCTTCGTCCTCGAGATTAGTACTAAATATATATAACAACATGTAGACTTTGAGAGTTCGACCAGAAAAATATTCAATGAGAAAACTATTATAACATTCTGTGTGCATAATTTATTAAATTACAGATTAAATAAAACAAGAAACGATCACAAAGTTTCAAAATAACTGATGATAATTATTATTATTTTAAAAGCTTACGTATATTTAATAGCTTAAGATATACTTATGTATATAACAAAATAAAAACCAAACTATTATATAATTGGTTTACGATACGTTCAACTGTGATTTTATTATTATTTATAGCTCTATATTTCACTCTAAACTTAATGAACGGAAACTTAAATGAAGTAACCAAGTTAACAATCCACCTACAAAAAAAAAAAGAAAGTACCCTCTCAACAATAGTGCAAAAGCGGTGTCACTTGTGCGTTACTACATGTTGTTATACATATTTAGTACTAATCTCGAGGACGAAGCGCAAAGTATAATTAAATATATATTTTATACAAGTTTTATACTAAATTTATATGAATTACTCGAAATCCAACGGGAATTGATACATTATATTGGCGGGTACGGTAATTAGAATATCTTTAAAGTACATACCTATAATGAAAGAATTGAAGAAGAAGCACAGCAAAAACAATTGGACATATGAAAAACTAGTAATAGTTTTCGTTTGTAATTAATATTCAAAATACCTACATTTTATTAATAGATAAAAGATTCTAGATATCTATTCCTCTTTTATTTTACTGTATAGGAGTCATTTATTGTGTTAGCAACACGTCAATATTAGACTCATGATGCAGTTTTATGAAATAATTTGAATATTTCAAATAAGCAGGATTCTAATGTAGTATAGAATTGATAGGTAATTGAAATAGTTTTTTTTTATCTATTGGGATAACAAATATCTAGTTATGCAGTGAGCGAATTCATGAAATTGCTGCTCTCTCTATAAGCAAAATATCCCTTCCATGTACTAAATTAAACAGTTGCCTTACTCACTCAATGCTAATGCTAACTTATTTTTAGTGGCACTTAAGACACGAATAATACGGCTTCAATGATACTACAACAAACATCATTGATCTGACGCACATTGAACTTAGCCATTATAGAGTTAAGGGTCATTTCTTGTCTGTCAGTGTTCCATTTAAATGTGCTATGCAAGTCTTCATTTCTACTGTGATTCATGCAATTTCAAAGAAACCTTTCTTTAGCCTAATATACTTACGGATGCTAATCAAGTTAATGAAACAGTAACAAAGCTTGACCAAACAAGTACAACTACTTGCAAAGTAAATGAAACAAATATAACTTAGCAGTGCTTACGAGTTCGTTCACATACTTCATATAGTCTAAATGTTATCTACAATAGATAAATGAAAATTACAAGCTAGTCTATTAGAGCAGACCAGACCTTTCAGATCTAACTTGAAATTTTGATTATAGTTTCCTTTCATTAATTCGCTATCCGCTAAAAAAAGATTTCGTGAATTTCTCGAGAAAACAGGAGGTAAAGATTTAGTTTGTAATGTAGTAAGAAACCATTATTAAAATTCACTATATATACGATTCCAGAAGGCGAACGATACGTGTAGGACCCAAATATTCTTCGTTTACGCCAATGTAATATGTAATAATTCTATGTGCAACTACCGTATTCTATATAGGGAAAGGCATTTTTTATTGCAAATAAATTTTACTCGTTTTGTTATATGTAATGTATTAATATTTATGCCGACAATGTCACGCATTGTGGACATAAAGTAGACATGCGATAGTAATATTACGAGAGCAAAAGTAATTTGTCGAAGGAGTAAATGAATAATTTGGTAATTACTTCGCTTTCTTACAAAGTGGCTCCAATACGTACTTCAAAAATGGCTAATAATGGCCTGAAATTAAATGTAGTTATTTAATTTAAACACCTTATTTATGTTTTATACAACTTAGCAACAATATACACAGATATTTTTACAAATAATATATTTTGTATAACCTAAGAATTATCCAAAGAAAAATTTTAACTATACTACAATATAAATGTAGCCACTTTTGTCAATAACTCAATTTAATAAAGTCCTGTTGGTCTATTTTTTATACTCATATTTAAAAATTAAACAAGACGAGAAAAACAATTTCTTTAAATACTAATATTCGTTCTTTTAGAAGCTTCGTAAAATTCTTTGTTTACTTTTTAAGAAATAATGTCATTGAGATCTGTGTTATTCTATGTACCTATTAGCCTTAGTCTTTGAATCTTTCTTTGGATTTTTTTTCCTTCTATTTCCAATCAACAGCAGCTATTTTTAGAATGTTGAATATGTTTTGTTATTTCCCAGTCTCAAGTGCGTGGTTCTCACATACTTGTCATAATCGACACGTGAATGCTTACGTATATCAACTTAGTTCTCGTCATCAAATGAAATCAAATGTGAAATGAATGTATTGTTATAGGTTAGTTGCTTATTTATGTACTGTTTTCACATTACGTTTCAAGCGAATTTAATTTTACAAAAAAATACTTATATTTTAAAAAGTTAATATTCTTTATATCGGCAGATATTATATTTATTCTTAATTTAATATTTGTTCTATTCTGTTTTGGTATAATTTAAAAATGAATAAAAATACCAAAAAGGATTTCGTAAAATCGCAAAATAATATGAAGTACAAATACCGCCACATATTAAATTTTATATTTCATATTTCAATAGTTAGTTCTGTAGATATAGTAATTTAGGTTAATGAAAGTTTTACGTAAATAACGAAATTGATAGCTAAAGAGTATTTGGAACGAGCAATATCATTGCAATCATATTGTTTTCTATCTATGTGTGATCTATTTCTGTATGAAACTCATTATTACTTTTCCGCATCAGTGTCGATCACAATGCAAACTACAGGAAGAAAAGCCAGGGACATGTCCTGCAAAGGATACACCTAAATGGGAAGCAGCGTGCGTGGAGGCTTGCAACAGCGACTCTCAATGCGATGGCACCCAACGCTGCTGTCGACATACATGCGGCTCTACTTGTAATGAGCCTGTTGATCTGCTGACTTTGCCAGGTAACTAGGTACACAATTTGATGTATAAGTCTGCAATCCAAAGACAAATCCTTTAACATATACTTTCAAAAAGAAAGCTTTGTCTGTCGTCTTATTAACTACACAATCTATTTAATTTTTTTTTTTTATTTTTCCATGCAGGGCTTCCAGCTTTACCAGTGATGGACAAAGCCAAAGAGAAGAAACGATCAGTTCTTATCAAATGGTCAGATGGCGTTGGAGATGCTGCCCGAGCTGTACCAGGGAGAACCTTGTATCTATTAGAAGAACAACATCATTTGGGACCGAAATATGAAGAGTCAAGACTTGGACAGTGGAATTTATTATTGAGGACAAATAAGTGAGACTTTTATATGATTTTATACTCATATATAAAATATTTACGGTAAAGTTATCCAGATTAAGTCCCCATAATCCTATTGATTGTTATCACAGTATTGTTATCTATTACTAAAGCCAAAGATATTACAATTGATAAACTCTCCGAGATCAACGGATTTGTTGTTGCAACGACAGAACATTGTGACGGTACAGTAAGATAAGACTTCGATATGAGTAGCCAAGCACATTCAAAGGCTGAAGGCGAATTTATCTCGCACGAATGCTTTTACAATTAGCGGACAACGGTATTACAGTATCTTAAATCAGCGTTACAATATATATATTCCTGATGTACGAGTATGTCTGCATCAAAGATCTGATCACAAGACTGCCTTAATAAGAATATTGATTACAAAAAAGAATTATCTACTTTCTACTACGTGACTTCCTCAAACGTTACGCGTGCATTGTACCGTAACGGAGTTCATAACAATAACGTGACGTAACATATAAACAGTTTAACTCTCGTGATATCACAGCTTCAGTTGTCTGATAACCTAATGCTTATAACGATATCGTAATATGCTTATGTATACAGTTATTACATTGTTTGTGTAAATTAAAGATTAACTGGTTTTAATTAGGTAGTCGATCCTATTTGTATTCATCCATATTCAGCGATCTGTGACCAGCGCCTACATTGTGGTCTTCAAATTGATGTTTAAAAAATTTTTAATAAGTTTTATTAAAATTTTTCATATTGGCAAATATTAATATTAGTTAAGTCTAGGTCCTTTCTATGATATAAAAGTTTGAAACCTAGTACTTTTAAGCAAGGAACATTATAATAGTTGGGCGTTTTGCCCATAATTTAGTAAATACAAGTGGATTTTCTATTTAATATTTAAAATATAAGAATTACAAATATTGATTAAAACAATTTCATTTTCATTAAGTAAAATTAATTCCTTACAGAACAAAAGCGTCGCTTCGAAACTTACTAAAGCCAGGTCGTTGGTATCGATTCCGTGTGGCAGCAGTCAGTGGAGCAGGGACACGAGGGTTCTCATTACCTAGTGCTCCATTTACACCACGTAGAGGACCTAGACCACCCCCTCCACCAAAAAAGCTGAAAGTAAAGCCGCTAAAGTCTGAAAATGGTACTTCAAATACTTTGTTGTTTAATTCTCACAACTGTAGTTCATTTCTATTATGATTCATATAGTATGCGATCAGATAAGAAGATTCATTAATATTATTTTCAAATTTATAAGTAAATAGTTAGCAGAGTTATTACGAAATAATGTTTCATAGCTATAATTACAAATGTGGTATCTAGCTACATACTATATATTGATATTGACATATGATGTGATAAATTTTAATGCTTACTCATTTTTTTAAGGCACATTTACCATACGATTGGAATGGAAAGAACCTAAATCTGATTTACCTGTTATGCGCTATAAAGTATTCTGGAGTCGAAGAGCTAGAGGCGTCGGTGGAGAGCTGGACTCTGTACTTGTCAATCATCAAACAGTTCCTAAGGTATAATATACATCTATAGTATTATTTAAATCTAGTAGCTTGCTCTAACTTTACATATGTATATTTTACATTATCGTCACTCCGGTTTCTCGTGGGATAGCAAGAAAGTTATAAAGTAAAAAATCGGTATTTTATCTGTTATAAATGTATTTGAATAATATAAATCATATTAATTACATTTAATTCATGAATTATCAATCAGTATTCAAATAATTGTAAGTGTGTAATTCTATTACAAGTGACATTGAGATATTGCTATGCAATATATCTACATGTTTAAAATATATGTATGCGGTCTTTTATCTAAATAAATATTGATAAATTAGAATCTTAACTACGGCCTCTGGAGCCTATTGCTATGCATTCAAATGCATACTGCAAGGTTTCATAAAGCAATACAAATTGTTACAGGATCAGACGTCCATAGAAATAAAGGATTTACAAGCGAACTCCATGTACTTTTTGCAAGTGCAAACAATCAGCCAGTTTGGTCTCGGCAAGTTGCGTAGCGACAAAGCAGCAGTATTCTATAACACCACTGGTTCTAACAATTACAATCAGAAACAAGGTGAAATATGTATTTCATTCTTTTGTTATTCTATTATCTGGTGAACTTTATGCAACATCCCAATACTGTTGAGAGTATTGTCGAGTGGTTTAATACCTCGACTTTAAGACGTCAAAAGGCGTAAGATCGACTCTAGTCATCTCCAAGAACTTTGTGTCAAGTTAAGTTTTTAACTGACTCTCCGGAGATGAAAAATACCGATAACAAACCCAATTAATGAAAGATAAGATTGTAGGTTTAACCACGAACACATTGAATTAAAATATGCTCAGAGAAATGCAATCGTTTTACGTTCAACAAAATATAGACAGTCGAAAATATATTCGTACTGTCTATCCCATTTCTGAGAATAGTCGTGAGAATATGTAATATACGTCTAACATAATAGCCACTTTATTTAGAAAGTATTTTAAGTGTGTCCTATTTTATAAATGACTCTTCAATGTCACCCTATTAAATGCGTGAACAGGTATTAAACCCTAGATTTAAACGGATGACAGGACAGATAAAGCACCTGCTTGTGTGGCCACCCGATAAAATTATGAATATAATTATTTTTAGATTCCCCGGCACAGTTGCTACGTAAACGTGACAGAAAAATAAAGGGATTGAAACTACATAAAGTGGTGTGGAACAATCATAAACTAAAGGCGAAAATCTCATGGGACAATGCCGTCAACAATAATGAAGAGCGTGGAAAGTAAATACATTTATTTACATATTTCTTTCAGATTACAGATTTGTAGCCGATTTCTTTATCACTCTATGTCAGTTTTTAAAATATAGAATACCTAAGTGGTATTTTTGTTTCTCATAGATATCTTTCAATTAAATAATGTTTTTACTGTTCTTTCATGGATTTTAGTCTAATACATTTTTACTGTTGACATTGACATATGTGTAGTTATAATAGGTAAGTAGGTAATAGGCGTATAGATATTATTATTTCTATAATATGCGTGATCAGGCCACGAAATCACGTAAATTGTAGTTGTAGGTATTATAAAGAATAACTTAAAAATACTGGTCATATCTTGATTAAATATATTGAGATTCCAACATGATAAGCTACCTACTGAACTACCTTTGAAGTAAAAAAGATTCAAAATTGTTTCATCTAAAAAAAAGTTCTGTGGTAAAAAAAATACAGTCGAGTTGTGAATATCCTCTTTTTTTTAATTCGGTTGAATAGGATTGCTAGCCACAGGTAACGTATTACTATCTGGGACTTTCTGTTATTTTATTGCACATTTTCCGCTCCGATGATTAATACCATCATTGTATTTGACGATGCATAATATTATTTACACTTAGTGTTATCTCTCGAAATGCATTTTAGTTTCTCCATATGCTTTCTCAGTGCATAGCATGCATTTATTTGTATTTAATATCGTTAAGTATCTATTTATTAATGCATTTCGTTTTACTTCATAGATATTACGTGTACTGGAGAACACAGAAATGTCATAATCCAAAAAATGCCAAAAAAGATTTTTCAGCAACAACTGAGGTAAGTACAAATAATTAAAATCGAGATAGACACTACTAATACCGTATTACTATATAAAATCTATAGTACCCTTAAATCGGTAGCGATCTTATTCGTATGGTGTGAGTCAAATCGTAATTTTATTACTATATTTCTGACTGACGATTTGCCTTGCCTACACACAGGGCCACGGAAGAATCTTGTAGGGCGTTACCTACCTACTATCTACAACTGTACCTATATCAGTAACCACTGTAGAGCCGTCTGTGGACGCTTTAATTATAATCGATTCTTAGAAGGTATCACATTTCATCACATTACGGTAATAATACCATTATACACTACTGTATTTTACAGTAAATTTATTTAATAGGTACGGTAACTGGTCAGTAAACATAATATCAAATTGTTATAGAATTTGTTTATTTTCTAGAATGTTTTCTTAAAGAAATTTAGGTAAACTGAGGTGTCATTTCGGTACTAATAATCTAAAGTATCTACATAATAACATATTAGTTAAGGACATATACATAATATAAGAATAGTATAGATACGCGAGGCGCCAAAAGACCCTACTATTAATTCAAATAATGACATTACAATGAAGTTAGTTGCAGTTTAAACGTATTTGTACTTTTCAGTGTTACCATGCTATAGAAATTTCCAATATAAATGGAATAAAGATATAAAATATCTTTTTCACGGTATTGTACTTATTACGATATTTGTATTGGTATAGTATCCAATACTAATAACAATTAGATTACACGTAATATTTTTAAAAGAAAAGAATATGTCTCAGTTTGTCAATGTAATTCGTAAGCACGCTGAAGTAAGCTGACAAAATTGAGGATGGAAATACATTCCAATAAATTTAAATGAAGTAATATTAAAATACTAATAATAATAATTTTGAACCAAACTTTTCTTTCAGGAAACGACGTTCGAGATTTACGAGCTTGACTACCAATGTAGTTACGTAGTCAATGTTAATAAATTACACAAAAATAAATATCCAGATTCAGAACTCATCGTAACCGTACCTGGTTGTGAATATTTCAAACAAAAAGTTAACAACGGCACTAGGTTTACATGTGATACTTAATATGAACTAAAATATATTTACATAAAATTTCTAGTTTATTGTCCAATTACCTCTATTGATAGCATCTAAGGCTAAATATTTTTGTAAAATCTGTATACGACGAATAATAACTATAAGGATAATATTGTACATTTTCAAAAGTATTATTATAAGTTTATATTTTCCAGCAGTTTCTAATGTATCTCTGTCTTATATAATCATCATAAATAAGTTTTCTCCTTATAGTCAAATAAACACAAAACAGAATTTTTAACCTTGATACTGGAGTAATTTAATACCGTTGACAGCGTTTCTTTGTACGCAATAATGCCCTAAAGTAACTGTCAGTATGCTTTATTTCAATAGTTTTATAATTTTTTAGATATCAAACTAAAAATAGAACATACTCGTACTATGTTTGGTATTACTCACATACTTCAAGTTCCTGTTTTTCAGAGTTTTTATATTTATTATGAATGTTATTAAATTCATATATATATGCCCCGATTTAGTACTTAACTTTGTGTGTTTGGTAAAATATATTTTTTCACAGTTAGTGAGCGATTTTTGTGTATTTACTTATGTGTGTAGAATGAAGTATCGAAAAGTTTGTTAAGACATTTATTTTAAATGTACTTGTCATAAATTGCATGTGACATTTAAAGGATGACAGTTTTGTTTTAATTTTTTCGTATAATGTTGAGTAAGTTCAATTATTAAACAATGTACCTACCTAGTTAAGTATAAGTAAATATAGATTAAGTTGTTTGTAATTACCTAATGAACTTAAGTAGGTAATTACTTTACTAATATTAAACATTCAATGTATATTTTCTATTGTTTTATTTAAATACTAAAACCTTAATTTCCCGTAGAATCATCTCATTGATTAAATATGTAAGTCAATTTTTAATTCTGTTCATTGAATCAAACATATTCTATTTATCTGAGGAGATAAAGTTGATAGTTGAATATAAGACAACTTAAAGGTTTTAATAATTCTAATATTAATTACATTATGATTATGAAAATCAGAAATGTTTGGCGTGTTGTAAATTATACCCTGACCTAAAAGTAATAGGTACATATACGAAGTTATATAAGATCAAGGTCAAATTCAAATTGTTTATTCTTGAAGTACAGGTAAGGTTGAAGGTATAATAAATAATATGTTTCACTGTCTTCTGCATTTAAGCCGTTGACATTTGTGATCTAACTACATTATTTGTACAATATATATAATATAATTTATATAACTCTTGGTTAATATATTTTTAAATTAGGTACTGTGATGATTTCTGACCCACGACATATTTATCATATTTGTAGGCATACGCGTCACGATATTATGGCAACACAAAATTTGACGCTAACTTCATTCCCAATTTTTGCAACCCCTGGAATGTCAAAAGTAAATAAAAAAATATATATTCTGATATAAATTGATATTTTATCTTTTATTAAATTTTTTGCTAATATTTATTAATCGTCACTTTATTGTAATTTATTATTATGTTTTCAAACTGTGAATAGTGATAATTTGTGTATACAGTGTTTTACAGTTTCGCATCCAGTATTTTGCGAATTTCCCAAGTTTTGTTTAAAAATGCACAAATTAAGTTGCATCACGGGTTTTTGTGTATTATTTAGTAGCGAGACACGGGACTTCCTCATGAGATATCAATTGGTGTTCATTTAATCTATAGTGTCCTTGTAATTTACGAAAATCGTCTCGGGGCGTAACCATATTATTCTCTGGACGAAGGCTGTGCTAAAATGATATTTTTTACCTTTTTCTGAAACCTAGTAGACTGTGTTTGTGTGCAAAATGGCTGATGACGAAGTTTTATTCGACGATGTGTATGAATTATGTGAAATTATTGGCAAGTAAGTAAAATACACATACTACTATATCAAGTACTTCATATCACTATTTCATGATATACTAATTACTATTAATAAATGAATAAGTATAAAAAATAATAAAAATATTATTAAATGTAAAGAATTTTAAATTCTTTTAATATATTTATGTTTTTTAAATTCCAGTGTCTTACACATTGGTTGCACTAATTTTGTATCTTATTTTAATTTATAAATAACACAATAAATTTTATATTAGACATATACATATACATTTTTATATTTCAATGAAAATAGGTATGAATTCAATGAAGAGTTTATGTAATCTAGAAGGCGAACCTACTGTCTTTTCTCAGATTATTTTATGATTTGAAATCTACATTTCATCACCAGAAGTATTTAACTTGTCAAAGATTTTGGTGCCGGCAGATTTGAATGCACAATCTCTTGTGTATAAATTAGGGTAGGAAACCACTAAGCCATGACACTAAGACATTTATACAATAACCTTCACATAGTATAAAACCACAGTTGCCTCCACTGTTTGTTCCCTTACATCTTTTTATACAGTATTCAATGAATTTTAATCCATTATTCAGTAATGAAAAGAGTGATTAAAGAGGATGGTTTATATGTATAATACCACATGTATTATACATTGTTATAGTATAAGGTGAGGAATTAAAAAAATCATAATCTACCTGCAAAGCCGGGGCTGGTTGCTAGTATATTATAAATAAATTTTTTAATTCACTATGTATATCTTATAGTATCATTAAATAATCACATTGTCATTCAATTTGTTTAAACAAGAGATATCTTTGCTTTTTATTTGTAATGATATAAGTTGTTAAGTAATACTTTATGTCATTAATGATTGCTATGGTTCAGTAAAAGGTTGTAAACACTTTGAAAGCATAGATAATAAATTATAAAACAATGATTTCTAGTTAATTGCATTATCACTGACCTTATGTTCCCCTATGTTATTAAGTTTTTGAATTTAATTTAGTTCATATCTAAGTTTTATAACAATATCTCAGTTATCCACAATTACTTAACTGAAAATATTCAGTATTTAATAATTTATTATTTTATATATAAGAGTAAATTAAATTTAATAATCCTAGAAATAGATATATTTAAATTCACCATTACTTATTAATTTACATATACTTACTTAATATGAATTATTTTATTTTAAATAAAAATAATAATTAAGTAAAATAAAAACAATCTAATATTTGGTAAATAAAATGAGACTCACAAAGTTAATATTTTTTGTTTATATATAAAGTCGAAAATACTGTTGTGTGTGTATAAAAGGCTTTTATGTATGTATAAGAATTTAGAAATCTTTTTATAATGTACTACTAAAAAAACTTATAAAATGATTGAGAATATTATTGAATCAATAGTATACTGATGCATGGGGGGAAAGGAGACTCTTAGTAATGTGGACTGATGACCCCATACTTATCCTCCACTGTTGCCCCGCCAGCGTAAACCAGTAGCGCATGTGGGGGCTCCATTCCATGATTATCCATAAAATAATATATTTGTACTGATGAGTTTGATCATTTATTTCCAGAGGACCATTCAGCTTGGTCCGCCGCTGTGTCCACCGTCAAACTGGGCAGCAGTTTGCTGTGAAGATTGTTGATGTGGCACGATTTACCGCCAGCCCTGGATTAAGTACTGCAGGTATAAAATTATTTATATATATATAACAGGGCTTAAGCCCTAAACTTAAATACAAAATAAATGTGCAACAAACATTAAAATAAAACTAAAGTTTGAGGTAATTTTGTCTTCTATATCTATGAATGGAATAATATGAATGTTTGTGTATGTATATGTGATATAATGTTACAGATCTCAAAAGAGAGGCTACAATATGCCACATGCTGAAGCATCCACACATTGTGGAACTTCTCGAGACATACAGTTCCGAAGGAATGTTGTACATGGTGTTTGAATAGTAAGTATTATCAAATTCGAAATTATAATAAATAATAAATATTCTCACGGAATAATAAATATTTGCTGAGAATATTTATAAAAGGATGTTTCCTTTTATAAATTAATAATTTAGGAAAGAACAAATGTTGTGGATATCCAAAACCAAATGAGAATAAAATATCTGTATATGTACTGTGTTAATCCACAATTTTATGGTTTATCTATGTACCAGATGTCTTGTTTATCTATGTATAAAGTTTTAATGGATAAATAAACATTCAGATATTACAAGCTTACACTTCTCTTGTGTTAGAATTAGAATAATGTAGTAAAAGTAGTTTTTCTTAATTTTATATGTACCTAAATTGAACAGTATAATATTTACATAACGAATGTATTATATTTTTCAGTATGGACGGTTCTGACCTCTGCTTTGAAGTGGTGCGCAGGGCAAGTGCCGGATTTGTCTATAGTGAGGCTGTAGCTTGGTATGTTGGATTTTTAGTTTAAAGTATACATTTAGGGTGTAGATTGATTTGTAAGCTGTATCAGTTGTAAAGTGAGAAAAGTCAGTGAAATTATATGATCAAAGGCCCGACATCTTAGTTATCTGGAATGGCAAGGCATGAGTTGTGTCACGAGTGTGACATGATAGCGGGTTGTCCATAGTGTGATTATCATCATGTGAGCTTAAACAAGTCTTGAAACCTTGTAGAAAACCTTATATCTTGAAACTGCAGTTACCTAAAATAAAATAAATGGTTTATATATGTGGTTGTAAGTTACATCACTAAGGGGAAGTATTTCTTTTATTTCGCCATAAACAACAAATATAATAGTCGAGATAGAATACCGCTTTATACTATACTAGCTTTTACCCGCGGCTTCGCTCGCGTTAATTTATACCCTTAATTGTGGAATTTATCTAAATCCTTTCTTAGGGGATGCCTACAACATAGTAGCTTTAGGCATGCAAAGCCCGATCGGTTTAAAATTGATGAAGTTTCATATAATCTTTCATCTTTTATTTTATTCCCTTGGGTGTAGAATTAATCAAAATCCTTTCTTAGCGGATGCCTACGTCATAACATATAGCTGCATGCCAAATTTCAGCCCGATCCTTCCAGTGGTTTGGGCTGTGCGTTGATAGATGTCTATGTCAGTCACCTTTGAGTTATACATATATATTTAGATATCTGAAAGTTGTATGACTCTTTTAAGTTCCAAGTGTTTTAAATTTGGTATATGAGGCTTTAATGTGTATAGTATTAATATTGGTTCTACCAAATCGTTAACGTTATTTGGAAATTCAAGAAAACATAATCTGAAACAAGTAAAGGAATTTCTAACTTATGATATTATACTTAAACTGAATAACACCCAGTTATTTATATTATGGAATTGAAAATATCTTCCATTTAAAAATTGATTGATACTTTTATATAGGTATATAAACTTCCGGGAAATAAATATTTATCTTTATTGTCTAATATCTAATATTTTTTTTTTACAAATACAAATAATACAAATAATTAAGAAGTCCCTGAATTCTGAGGTAGGTATAGAAAATACCTGTGTTTCAGAAGTCAGTGTAATATTGTTAATAATGGAGGCCTCTTTACTAGAAATATACCATGTCCATCATACGGACCATCTGATGTTAAATGGTTATCTATGGGCGTCTGAAACACCAGGGGTGTCATGTGCGCGTTGCCGACTCTTAAGAAACCTTAATTATCAGCCAAAGTGTATCTTATATTTTGAAGTTGATGGAAAATGATACGGACTGTCAATTTCCAGCCACTACATGCGTCAAATACTGGAAGCGCTCCGGTACTGTCATGAGAACGACATAGTGCACCGGGATGTTCGGCCCCATTGTGTGTTGCTGGCTGGTCGAGATAATTGTGCTCCTGTGAAACTTGGAGGGTTCGGTGTAGCCGCTCAACTTCCTACGCCGACATCACATCGCGCACCACCAGGTTTGCTGCAAATATATATTTTTAATTACATTTTATTTTTCTGTGTCCATCTTGAAATCAGTCGTAGTATGAATAGATGATTAAAAGTTACGTCGCGGTAGAGTGTGATTTCTATCGTCTATTTAGGTGGTCCTGATTAGTCATCGCTTTCCAGTAACCTACGCTTGTTGACGTATGTTGTCGGGGACTATCAGTTGGTGGATCACGTTAGGATGATTCTAAATATGTGTTACTAAAAATATTAAAAGACCTTTTCCGTTGTTTTAGGGGATTTTCGTAATAAATAGTTACTATCAAGAAATTGTGTAGCTTCCGTTTTTTTTGCTAGTAATTTGCAACTTTAGTATTGTGTTTTTTATAGATTTGAAATTTACTAATTGATATGTTTTCAGTATTTATTATATATGTATGATTTTTTGCATAATTATTAGTGTATTTAATTATTTAACTCAATTTGCCGCTTTAGTTTTTGATTGCTCGAATTATCATTTCTCTTGACTTTATTTGTCTGAATTTGTTCTTGAGGTTTGTTAAAAATTAATATTTCAATCGTAATGTATATTGGAATATATTTAACTGTAGAACATTTTTCAAATTTCTACTTTTATTTGTTTATATTCCTTCTTTTACTGTAATGAATTCTACAAAACTGCATAAGAAAAACCACGCTAATACCGTTTATGCTTGTGTAAATAAAAGTGAGGAAAAAATGTTCCCAAGTTTTTCACCAATTACTACACTAATTACTAAGAACAGAAAGTTTATTTATATGATCTCTTCATTTAATTGAAATTTAGTCTATTTTTTATGAAACTATATTCAATTTGAATTTATTTTTATATAGACAACATTACAGTTTTGAAAAAAAATCTTTATTTTTATTTAAATAAATCTATTGAAATGTCAATGATGTTGGTCGTGTTTTTATTATGACTTTATCACCATTATTTAGGTGGATTGTTAGCTTTGACATTCCCATATTTTTTTTAAATAAAATAAATCTAAATCCAACATCATGAATATAATTATATTAATTGATTTGCAAACGCCAATAATAATTCTAAGTTTTAGTTAAGACAGATAATTGTATTGTACAGAATTGGTGATGGACAATCGACCGCTAATGGGTCCTATGGGCCAAGCGTATCTCAAATCAGATGAGTACGGTAAGACTTCCACAGTGAAGTTGTACCCTAACTGCATGGACATTATGTGCAATTTCCATACGCACATCTGTCTCCAGTCATTATATCACCATATAACACCATAATGTCTTTTGCGACAGACAATAAAGTGCAAATTCGCTTAAACGGATCACGTATTAACCGATATTATGCATTAGCACCTCACATTAATAATCTTTGTTAAAGAGGCCGCCCTTGCTAGGAAACGCAATGTCAAACGTCAAATCTGTTGTTTTTTTCAATTAGTATGTTTTAAAGATTTAAGATTGAATAGGGTTTGGATTCAAATATTATTAGTGAAGGTAACAAGTGATGTATTCCCCTTATTGGCAACGTGGTCAGTAATGGCTCCCAACTACTTTTGTCTGTTATTATAGTAGTGAGAATATGTATATTTTATTATTTGTTTTATCGTAACAAATAAGCTTTATAATGCAATATAATCCTATTTGAACTAACAATATACTTGAATGATAATAAAATACATTACAATTTGACTTGAGAATGCGAACTTTTCTTAGCAAGCAGCCTCCCTTAAATTCATTATAACTAACCCCCTGATATAACAAATGTGATAGTTGTTGGTGTACCCTGTCAAAATCATTGTATCGTCTACTATAATTTCATTAAATAAGATATTTATGTTGATATGTCATGACTAACTTATTAACAGCACCTGTAGGTAAGACTTATTTTTCATGTTAAACACGATTTGAACGCCTAAAAACAAAACGTAATATCTATATTGATAATTTAAAGCACTTACTTGTTTTTGTATAATTTTTTTTTTTTTTATAGGGGTGATGTAGTAACGAAATAATGGAATGGCATTAGAAAAACATGTGAAAATTATCATTATGTTTGTTTATTGACATTCTATAATTTATATAAAATTGGTGATTTCTTCTCTATTCTAATTTTTCTTTAATAATGTAACACTGAGTCACAGTAATGTTTTTATAAGCACTCAATAAGTGTGGCTGAGCTCTTATTGTGATTATCATTTCATTTCATGTCTCATATCTCCTGTGCTTGATGGTTGAATTGGCTTTAATTTATTTGTAATCAGTTATCACGATAATAGCTCGCTAATGCTACTGACAGTGTATCAATAAAGTTGTTTAGCTTCTAATAATATATATATATAAATAATGTGGGCATACAATTACAATTTGGTAGAAAAGCTTTCGCAAACATACCCTAGATGGAGTATAGAAGTTATGTGGGTCAAACGTAATGCTTTCTCTTGTGTATAGATGGCGCTTTAAGTTATATTTTTATTAATTCATTTTATAATATTATTTGCTTTTATGTAGTTTGTATTTTGGCTAATTGGAGTATTTATAAGGCAAATATGAGGTGTTCTAATTATACAATTCATATATTCCTTGAACTTAACCAAATTAAGAATGACGAAAACTGGGAATATACTAAAGGCTTAAGACTTCGCATGAAAATTCTAATTATTTAATAATATATTATTTCTCGATATTCCAATTTAGAAATGATATATATATTTTTATTGAACATTGGAATTCTAGGCTATCGATAGGTCAGTATGGTTTCAATTTTTTTAGTTTACAAGAGTGAATTATTACTTAAATATTATATGAAGTAAAAATAAGGTAAATAGAAATATTCTAATGATAATTCATTCGATTACATGATCATAAACATTGAGATTATATATTTTTAATCATTATCATCCAACCCAGTCTATTCCTTAACATAAGCCTTTTCTTATTCGTAAACATGACTTCACGTCCGTTATTACAACCAAGTAGTAAAACTCGTTCTATTACAGGTCGTATCGGCACTCCTCACTACATGGCTCCCGAAGTGGTCTCCAGCCAGTTATACGGCAAGCCAGTGGATGTGTGGGCCGCTGGTATTCTACTGCACGTGCTTCTGGTTGGATATTTGCCATTCACCGGCACTAGAGAACGACTGTTTGAAGCGATCTGCCGTGGGAGATTGAGGGTCAGATTTGATTTATTTAAAAGTCTTTGTAACTTTCAACTAACAACATAAAAGAGTTTTAATTTTTTTAAATATACTGGAGCGTTAACAACTTTCATTCTTAGTGATGATTTCTTTATTTAAATTTAAGGCTGCCCTAGATGGTCCCCATACATTTACATTTTCCTTTAATATTCGGGCAAAATGTATGGGATCAAATATTTTTGTTATATTTATCATACAATTTATACTCGTATCTTCTGAAATTGTCATGTTGTTAATGCAATATTGGTGATAATAAAACATATGATCCACCGGATAGTAATCGGTAACTCTAGTCTGTGGATATCACGGGGGTGCTGCCGCCCTACAGCTAATATTCTTTTATGAACACGATGCTGTGGGTTCTAAACCGCACAGGCGACATTATAGCGGTTTGTTGTTTGTCGATTGAACCTTTCTAATTTCTGTTTACATAATTATATGCTGAATTCAATATGCATGGTCGTTAACAGTTCGATGCACCCCTCTGGGATGACGTCAGTGATGCTGCCAAAGATTTGGTCCAACGTATGCTCACAGTGGACCACACCCAAAGAATAAACATCCAAGAGGTCCTTAATCATCGATGGATAAGGGTAAGTAATTACTATTATAACATTTTCTTAAATACCAAGTTAGGCTATCGCATAGATGCTCATGATATTCGTCATATACCAAGGGATTGGACGTGGGTTGACGAGGTGTGACATTGTGTGACATGGCGTAGGTAGAGTGATTAATATTATGACGACACATCAAAAAGTAATATATATTATAATACGAAATAAAACGAATGTTGTGACTGCTTTTTGTTTTTGTTAATGTAATGATTTCTAGATGTAAAATTGTAAAGAAGTGACATTAAAGATTATATTAGAGTGACATTAGTCACATGAATGTGACCAATACTGACAAGGATATAATGTATCTATGTATAAGGAGAGTTGTGTGTAAGGATAGAATTTAATGACACTAACTTCTTTATACCTGACTTGTACGGCATCTATGATGAAGATAGATAAATTGAAAATTTAACATTAATAACACAAATTTATTTTACAGGACCGTGACAAGCAAAACCGTATTCACCTAGCCGGTACAGTGGAAGAACTGAAGAAGTTCAACAGCAGACGGCGTCTTCGGGCTGCAACGCTTGGTGCTGCGGCTGCTGATGATGAGGAGGACGAAGAGCAGACTGCTCGCCGTCAGGTCATGTTGGAAGAGGCAAACGCTGCTGGTAAGCATTATCTATATTTTTTAAGTGTCTATATTTAGTATGTATGTATTTATATTTTTTAAGTGATTTAAAAACGTAACGCATTCTCAATTTGATATCCTTATTTACATTGCTATGATAATAATAATGATAACCCTAGATAATTTAAATAGCGCCATCTAGTCCCAAGTTAAGCTTGTGTTATGGGTACTAGACAACTGATAGAAATACGTAGGTTCATTTGTTATAAATATATACATAATATACATTTTAAACACTCAGACCGATACAAATGATCATACACATAAATACAAATGTTTGTAACGTGCGAGGAATCGAACTAGCAACTATTGGAAGTAAATTATGTATAACTGTATAGAAACGTATGGAAATTTTGACGTATTTTCAAAGAATATAATAAAAGTCAAATTGCTTAATATTGATTGTAATTTTTATAGCATAGGTATCCGATTTTTTTTGTAAAAAGCAGGTGGCTTTTTTGTTGGTCAGTCTCGGATTTTTTTTTTTTTTCGAGGCATGGTAAAATCTAAAAAATGACACTGCACTAAGACTCCACCGCCCTGCCCCTCCGGCCAACATTTTTAGAATATACATAAATATAAATTAAGTTCATATTAACATACAATTTGTCCAATTAGTATAGCTGTTAATTATTGGGGCATTTTCAAATACACAAACAATTTATTTGACGTCTTATTGTTAGTGGTCAAGTTGCCAAAGATACGTTAATGATGAGATGTGTATTCATCTGCCAAGTTCGAATTTGTTGCATGGTGCTTAGATTCGAGGCTGCACCTGGTAGACATGTATATTTTAGTATGAGTTGTATAATAAATTTTATATTGTTGCAGCTGTTAATCTAGTCGTGGAATCTTTGGACGACGTGTCTGTACTGCAGGATGGACCAACATTCATGGATCCTGATTTGTTTCATAGTGTACTTGATGACTTGCAGTTGAGGGCGCTTTTAGAGGTAAAATTACGTTTGTTGGAGATCAATACATTCAATTAGAATACCAATACAGCTACTAAAAGAACATCCCAGTTCTTTTATCTCCAATTTCATTCCAGTGCACTGCGCTTATTCTGACGTAAAAATGATGACTACGACTACAGTAGTAGTATGAAAATACAACTTTCGTTTTTCTGGAATTATCAAGTTCATTTATCTAAGTTAGCGGAATGTTCTTTGCAAAATATGTTTGTACAGTATCATAACACATGCAATTGAATATATGTAGGCATTTGATTGCTTATTCAATTCAATTAAAAGACTGGGTTTAAATATGCACTTGAATAAATTACAGTTATTATTTTCTTTCTACATTATGTAATGCGTTAATTAGAGATCAAATAAATATTTATTTATTTTATAAATTAATAACGTAATTATATAACTCTGGTTGTACCACACAGCACCATTTAATTTTGAACTAAGCATAGGTTATTCAATAGTATATTAAATACCTATCATAATAAAATAATTTTAGTATATAATTACAATCAGACCGTCGTTTGCCACTATCGTAGTATATAAAAAAAATGTGTTTATAAAAAATGCATTTAATTTGTAATAGGGGTTTTGTATGTCAAATTATTATATGTCATTTTATAATTATACTTACATATATTTCAGCGCGGCTCATTGAGGTTACTTGTGACCCGAGAGCTGGTAGCTATTTTGCCCAAAGGCTAAGTATAGCCATTCAAAGAGGCAACGCTGCCAGTATCTTGGGTACGCTGCCTCGATGTGCCGCGTTGGATTACAATGATTGTTTTTTGTAATTGTTTATATAGAAAATTGAAATAGAGAAATCATTAAATAAGTATAATTATAAAAAAGGTGTTTAGTATGTTATTTATATAATGCATACATCTACAGAATAGGGTTTCACGCTGGTTTGCCGCTATACAGGTGTACGACCGCATCGCGTGTACGGTGGTGGTGACGAGCGGGCGCGCGCCGGCCGCCGAGGGTCGGCAGCGGTGCCGGCAGGCGCTGGAGGCGGCCGCCAGGCTGCGGCACGCGGCCAACGCGCCCGCCGCCGCCACGCCCGCCACCGCCGCCGGCATACACGAGCTGCGGAGGGTGCTCGCGCTGCCTCACATCAAGGTCAGTACGTGTTATATATATAACTAGATACGGCCGCCGAGGGTCCGCAGCGGTGCCGGCAGGCGCTGGAGGCGGCCGCCAGGCTGCGGCACGCGGCCAACGCGCCCGCCGCCGCCACGCCCGCCACCGCCGCCGGCATACACGAGCTGCGGAGGGTGCTCGCGCTGCCTCACATCAAGGTCAGTACGTGTTATATATATAACTAGATACGGCCGCCGAGGGTCCGCAGCGGTGCCGGCAGGCGCTGGAGGCGGCCGCCAGGCTGCGGCACGCGGCCAACGCGCCCGCCGCCGCCACGCCCGCCACCGCCGCCGGCATACACGAGCTGCGGAGGGTGCTCGCGCTGCCTCACATCAAGGTCAGTACGTGTTATATATATATATACGGCCGCCGAGGGTCCGCAGCGGTGCCGGCAGGCGCTGGAGGCGGCCGCCAGGCTGCGGCACGCGGCCAACGCGCCCGCCGCCGCCACGCCCGCCACCGCCGCCGGCATACACGAGCTGCGGAGGGTGCTCGCGCTGCCTCACATCAAGGTCAGTACGTGTTATATATATAACTAGATACGGCCGCCGAGGGTCCGCAGCGGTGCCGGCAGGCGCTGGAGGCGACCGCCAGGCTATCAGAACCGACCAGTCCCCACAAGCAGCATCCGTTCACGAGTATGACGGACGAGCCAGCCATCATTGCATTCGACCATATTAGAGGGAGCACATCGACCCCGCCACCACGCCGCCACAAGTTTGAACTTTATAGCGAGCATGACTGTCTCAAGTTACTTCACTACGTCATTTATATTATTTACAGCATAAACTGTACCAATCACAGTTTTCACCCATTACAATATTTCATTTACATTATTTAAATTACAATATGTCATTACTAAATTTACAATAAGTTTCTTTAGTGTTTATTACATCTATCTATGTCAATGGGAAAATTATATACCTCAATATCAATGCCTAGGTAACGCACTGTGCGTTCCCATTTCACGGGCTGACCTCTTAGCAATAGGGGCGGCGGATACTAAGAACTGGCGGCGGGTAGTGTAGTACCTCAGTAGCGCTACCGTTTTATCCACATGATTAGTTCGCCACGTAAGCAGGGTACTCAGGAAGCAAAATACATCCTGTATTAGGATTTTTCGATCACAAAAAACATTACCATCGTATTGTCCGTTGAAGTTTCACTTCTACTATGTTTCCCAGCACACATTCCTTTTTATTGCTAACAGTGTGGGTATATTAATTTGTAGGTGGCATAACATTAGATACAGTATATGTATCAACTGTTACACCCTATCCGGCATGCAACAATTTACAACAGATTTGATTTAAGATATTTATATATTTGCAGTAATCATTTACATTGTGTTTTAAACTTATGTTTATTATGTTATACATTTTTAATGCAAGTAAATTAATAAATACTATAAAATCAATATTTGGTGTGTATTAGGATTTTTATCGACGATATATATAATTCTGTCTATCCACGCTATCTGTGCCACACTTCACATTTCTGTAATATTTATTTCTTTATAAATTTTTGTGTCTTTTTTTTACAATTTTAGATTCACATTTATTTCTTTTCCTCTCATTATTTTTATTTTCACACTTCACATTTCTGTAATATTTATTTCTTTATAAATTTTTGTGTCTTTTTTTTACAATTTTAGATTCACATTTATTTCTTTTCCTCTCATTATATTTATTTTCACACTTCACTGTTTCTGTTCGTATCACATTATAAGTATATAATTTTTTATCAGTTGTTTCATTCATCTCACACATACAGTCCACTCATCTAAAAAAACTGATTGAAGTTGCGGTAACTACTAGTTACTATATAAAACTGAATTAAACAGATGATATAGTTTTATTACATAAGTTTGATTTTCAATACGTAAGTCCCAACTTCCAACAAAAATTTTGATTTTGCTTATCAGAAATCGCTTCCTACACATTTTGTATTCAAATTCAATATAGAGGCTGTTGCTCTGGGAAATGTTACTATCTAAATTCACGTACAATTTATCCTTTCTCTGTGTCAGGGGTTATTGATGTTACATCCGTTGGCATTGCGTGAATATATTTTATTTATGAATGAATATTATATTATTGTTTTATAAATCGAGGTACGTTGCCTAGTGGCTTACTACCCCAACTTACAATCAAAAGGTATTGTTATAGTTACCGCTTACGTGATGGTACCATCAGGTAAGCGGTAACTACAACAATACCTTTAGGTAGGCTGTCTATCAGCTTGCTTGCCATTCAAATAATCACGGACGACTACACTACCATAGTGGTTTAGCACACCTTACTTCTAATGGTCACGGATTCCACGCCGTACGTGTAACAAACATTTGTATTAGTCAGTATGACTGTATGGGTCTGGCTGTTTCATATATATATAACTAATGTTAAATGATCAAAGTAGTTATATGAGTTGTCTAGTAAACATAATACAAGTTATGCTTATCTTGGGACTACATCACGTTATGTGAATTGTCCAAAAGAAAATGTGTACTAATAAATATAAGTATTACTTATAATCAACAAGCAGAATTGTAATAGTTGTGTTGGCTACAGAATTCTGTGTATTTCTCTCTCCAGACATCTCATTAATACTTTTTTATCTAGTAACAATTTGAATAATACTCTTCTAAACTTATTTGCATTTGTAATTTTATTTAGGTATCTTGTTATACTTGAAAGTGAAAAGTTTTAGCGAAATATTCGAACGCTAAAGCGGTCGGTGACTCGTTTGCTGAAATTGAATAAATAGTGAATAATTCATATCATCAAAATACGGCGAAATATGTAGATATACTGTCAAAATTTTTATGACCATTTTTTTATTTTCTCTTCAAAATACATATATGCCTGTTATGACTATAAGAATATATATTTCATAAAATAGCAAATAGTTCTAATTTACATTAAAATACATACCTAATAATATACAATTACAATACTACATATAATTTTTGTCAGTTAGTATATATGTCGTTTCTCTTTTTTATATAAAGTCAGCTTGGCCATCCTTTTTACATTTTTTTTTCATGCTTTTGTCGACCCTGCGGGAGTTTTATTTTGTGTTTTTCTCCAGAATTCAATGACAGTAATTATCAATGAATCGTGTTACGTTTCATAGAGTTTACTCCTTGTGGAATAAAATAAAACATTAAACTGAATCTAAAATTATCAACATAACAGGAAACCCATACCTTTATTTACCTACATTTCCCCTTACAAAACTTTTATTAGAGCACACACGCTAGGAATACGAAATGAGAGTGGCCGTACTCAAACAAAATTCAATATCCATAACTTGGACGTATAAACAACAAAGATTTCCGGATAAACTGTGTTGGAAAATAGCTGTCCACGCAACTAAAGAGACAATATTCTTATGTCACCAAAGTAATATATCACGTTATAATACTTTGTGACGGTATGGTCCAGGAAGGTGCAGTCTGATGTATTTTTTTTCGGACTAAACCAATGCTGTTGGTCATAGCTTTACCGGATGATAGGGGACGAGTGCACATGGCACTCCAAACCCGCGGAAGGACTTATGGAGCGGCCGAAGGCCTACTCTCGCCTGACTGACACGACTTTAGTAGTAGTTAGGGCGCCACTAGGGGAACCAGCGGTCGGGCCATCATAATTTCGATACCTGTTTGAATTGGATTGGGAATCAATCGGAGGGAGTATGATGTACTACTACTTAATGATTTATATTTGTTTAACTCCGCTACCATTACCGTGTGTGACGCTACATATATTCAATGCGGAAACCTCTATTGGTATTCAGAACTATTATTTTAAGTTTATATAAACAGGTGAAATTAGAGGGTATTGACTAAAGGCATGTCAAATGCATACCTCAAAGGGTTACCTGACCATTACTACTGGAAGCATTTCATAATGCTCAGAGGTCATCCTCTATTGGTATTTAGGACTATTATTATAAACAGGTGAAATTAGAGGGTATTCACTAAAGGCAAGTCAAATGCGTACCTCAAAGGGGTTTCTCAGGCTTAAATGATGATGGATATAGGAGATGGCACTTACCGCCATATTAGCCATTAGTTTATTTGGTATGCGAGTTACATTAAAAAAAAAGTAGCTGCTAGCAACATTTACACAAGGCAATTACGGAAATGGAGGTATTGCTGTACCATCACTAGATAAATTAAAGTAAAGTAACACAACATTTTAAGAACATAATATTCTTAAAATGTTTGTCTTGCGTCTATTTTCCGTTGCGTTATTACACTATCAAATATGTATATTTTATGAGCCATAAAATATTGCAAGGTAGAGATGACAGTGAAGCTATTAAACTATACAGTGTATTGTAAAACATGTTACTGACTTTGAAAATTATTATGAAATATTTTACAAGGATGGTGAGATTAAATAATTAATTTAGATATGATTAGAAGATGATATATGTGTTTTGTCCATTAACCAACTGATGTTTTTTAGCATTTTTTAACAGCCCTAAGTGATGTGTGGTGTGGTTTAAGATAACCCCCAAATCACGTGTATTTTTAGTATCTACATAAAAACTTAAAATTTTTAGAATGTTACCTTCAAATATAGGTATTATCTCATTTTATTTCTAGAAAATCAAGGGCACACTGCAGTCGGTTTTCGGTTTCGATATCGCGTGTTTGACGAAATAATAAAAAAACCAACAACTGTATCCGTTAAATCTGCGGAAAGAGAAATCGTCATAAGAAATGTTGAAGTTATTCATATTGCTAAAGTTCGTTGGAACGTATCGAAGAATATTATATTTACGTGCCGCGTCGTATGTTGCTCTTATAAAAGTTTTATGTTATGCGCCCGTATCTCTTCATTTACATCTCAGGGGTAGGGTTACCATAAATTCCGTAACACTATTACGTACGTTACGTTTACCTAGGACGTGAAAGATTTGTTTGTTGTGTATTGAAATGCCATCTACAGAGGTACATTTGTTCGCTCTAAAACGTGGTTTATGATTTTCAAATATAGAAAAGTGGTCGTGTTAGAACGAAACGACATGAATGTATGATATTTGTATGCTAGACTGTTTGTTGATAGATTGATGCGTCCTTTTATTGATGTACTAGCTGTTAGTTAGCCGCGACTTACTCTGCTTTTCTTTTAGATTTGGAAAAGACTGTTTGTTGATAGATTGATGCGTCCTTTTATTGATGTACTAGCTGTTAGTTAGCCGCGACTTAAACTGCTTTTCTTTTAGATTTAGAAAAGACTGTTTGTTGATAGATTGATGCGTTCTTTTATTGATGTACTAGCTGTTAGTTAGCCGCGACTTACTCTGCTTTTCTTTTAGATTTAGAAAAGACTGTTTGTTGATAGATTGATGCGTCCTTTTATTGATGTACTAGCTGTTAGTTAGCCGCGACTTACTCTGCTTTTCTTTTAGATTTAGAAAAGATTAACCTATGTCCGTCTTCTTAATATAATCTAAGATTAGGTTACGAAGATCATGTAATCTATTAAAATCCGTTCAGCCTTTTCGCGAGTAAGTGACAGACATGCAGATAAAACACTCACATTTGCTAGTATTAATATTGCTTAGAATAAATTTGTTATTTTAACTAGCTTTAATCTGAGAATCTGTTTTTACAATTCATCGAAAAATTATTCACTGAATTGTAGGAACAATTTCATAAGTACTTTAGTTGGTATCCGCGTAAACAGAATTGTTGTAGTCGAAACAGAATATTATGAATATTCTGTTAAAATATTCTGTATAAAAAATAATATATTGTACGGATATAACCTCAGATTTCTGATAGTACTTCGTATAAGTTTCTATCTATTTAGGCCAGTTCAACGGTTTTCTAGCGAATGAGGGGCGTAAATAAGACCATAAAAATAAGATCATATCTAGATCCATAGATATATCAATTTATGAAGGTGCCACGGCATTTTGTATATTAGTACTAGCGGAACTCTGCAGAACCATTCTAGTTTCGCACGGGTAAATAATAACTACGTATACGAGTATATATTTGTTAGAATAGCATACTCTGATTAAATTTTTATTCTGTGCTGTTTTCCGTAACTGTACAAACTTTCATCTCTTGTTTCATTTCTTTCTAGATTATTTATTGAAATAAAAGATAGGATTATGTATGTCCGTCCCCTTCATATTTTTTTTTGGTTCGGTTTTTCCCTTTTTAGGGAAAGGCAAAAGGACTCAGCCCATACAGCCAGTTATAATCTCCGTTCAGCCATTTATTTGTCTAAATAATTTCGTATTTGTAATAATAGTATGAATTAGATCTATTAAAAAAATGCCAAGTTTATAAAATTTCCTTCATTTTATAAGGATGAATTATCCAAATATGATTTCTTAGTGGATGTGAATTATACAGAAGGAATCTATAATAGAGTCCTTCTGTATAATTCACATATGTATGTATATGTTGAAAATCTGTAGGCATAACTGTTTAGGCTAGCCGTTTTTGATCGAACAATTAACATAAATATCTTTATACTACTTAAATTTGTAGAATAGCTTAGAATCTAATGAAGTCACTTTCTATTTTGTGTTTAGGATTCTATGGTTCATATTATTACAGGGCTATAAGCCCTAATGTAATATATAGCCCTATATAATGTCTAATTTAATATAATTATTCGCAACATCGTGCTAAGTTACCTATTTGGATAAGCAACAAAATTTTGTAGGATTAACGTCATAATTCTGTTGTTTTATGTTTTGAAACAATGTAAGCGGGATTTATTATGATTCTGCGACAACGCCTTTTGTAATCTATTTGGACGTAACAATGTTATTATTAAGTCCTGTCATCTATACTAATATTATACAAAGGAAAGATTTGTTTTTTTTTGTTTGCATTGAATAGGCTTCGAAATTCTAGACCGATACTAAAAATTCTTTATACATTAGACACCGTCCCATCATATTTTTTTTAAAACAACGTTTTATACTAGGTTTGTTTTTGAAATCAATTTTTGTTTCTTTCATTATCTCTTCATGAGTATCATAATGATATATTTTTTTAATAAATTTAATGTTTTATAATTGAGTAAAAAATATCTATATATGTTGATTTATATTAAATATATAGAAATATCTATATATTTAATTCTTATACGTATTTTAGACAAAATCTTTTTTGTTACTTTAATATTATTAATATTTTTTTTCAGACGCAATAGCCAGTTTTTAAATAATATAACGGAAAAGTCGTAACTAATTTCAAGTTCGGCTATCAACACCATTATTATCCACTAGAATGTGTGTGGTATTTTCAATTATCAGGGCAAAGTTTCGTGAAAGTTATAAGGCGATGCGCCTTACGGGTCTTGTGTGAAGTCCCTATGGATTTTAAATTAATACGACTTGCTTAACGAGGTAAGCCCAATTTTCTTCCCCCATTAATCATGCTTACAATTGTGGATGTAAATTGGCCGCGTTCTCACAAACTTATATGAGTGTTGTTTCTTCTTAACAATATCTTTTGGTAATGTCCCAAATGTACCATGTAGTATGTTAAATAGAAAGAATTTTCATGAATGTGCATATATTATAAGCTTTACATTGTTAAAATTTGTCTGCGACGATCTTTGTTTAGACAGAGGATCTAAAAAATTGTAGCTGCCAAGCGGCTGTATAGATTTATTTATCAAACAATGAATAGTTACAAAAAAATACCAATCATTGTAATCCATCGCGGTACATCGAGGCAACGTACCCAAGATACTGGCAGCGTTGCCTCTTTGAATGGCCATACTTAGCCTCTGGGTAGCAAAGTAGCTACAAACTCCCGGATATCAAGTAACCTTGATGAGCCGCGCTGAAATACTTGCAGTTTGCTTTTTGTAAGCTTAGTATTAATTGAAGAACAAGAGATATGGAGTATATATGCGATGTTCATGTATACAAGCGATTGCTACTACATGACATCAGTTGGGACGTCAGCTTGTTTGCCATTATAATTAGATAAAGCAAGTATTTACTATATATATATATACATAATAAAAATAATAATATATTATTACTATAATCACTGACAGTTGGTGACAGTCGATGCATTTTTAATGGAATGGGAGGGACATACATATAGTCCATCGTCGCGAATTAACCACGATGGTTTCCAGATGGTTGAACCCGATATATGGTACAATAGGGCCAGTGGTCCGCATTGCTGACAATCCGTTCCCAAACAATCATGAGGCCTTGTCAGCTGTCGAATATAGTGAACGCTACATTTGATATGCCCACAGTCAGCTGAGTATATTGGAATCCAACATGACAGTGGGCGCCCCTACTATAGTGTAACTGATTAATTTGCCTTATTAGTCTAGCTTTACTGGAGATACAATAGTAAATATAAATTAAGAGATGCTTTTTATGTTTCCTTGATTCTCTCTCCTCTGAACTCTTCTGATGCCACTAGACCATATTTCTAGCTATAGTTGTATACTAAATATGTATATGAAATATTAATTTCTATAATCAAATTGTGATTTTATATTATCTATGCAACAAACTTATAAGCAGGCTTATAGTATAGGAGCGAAGATGGATTATATTTTTATAAACGTTAAAAACTCACGTTCACTGACCTAAAATTTTTGTCGAAGAGATCAACCTACTTCTATGAAAAGTTTAGTAATTTCGCCACAAATCCCCAAATTCTTTCAACTCACGTCCATATCCTATTATTAATCAAGACCTAACTAGCAGAGAAATAGAGCACGTCCTTTATCTTACAGTTTTATGTTCGGTTACAAATTCGCTGCACTTGCAAACACAATTTGCTCCGGCTTGCTTTAATGAGAGTCAACTCCCCGTAATGAATGTTGTCAAGTTTAAGATGACATGTTATTATAACATAATTAGATCTCTCCCCTGACTAGATGACAGCGTAAGCACCGTGGCGTTTGCTCGTAATGTTTTCAGGGTTACGAATGAAAAGAACTGAAGAGCGCTTATAACGCGAAATTTTTTATAGGTATGTACGTTTGTCAGCGCAATATTTCTGAAACTGCTTATTATGAGTATTATACAATAAATGTAAACTCCGAAACACTGTATCGCGTTGAGAAATTCTTTCAATGTTTGGAATATACCTACGTTATATCCAGATTGATATAGGTTATATATAATGTTAACGAGCTCTGATTTTCTAGCTAACTGTTTGAAATGATCTGTTCCTAAAGGCATAACATATAATAGATATCCAATTCGGTTCATTGTTCTCAAAAAACGTACATATTTTTTTATTATTGAGGGTTTTGGGCTATCATCAAGTGTTGAGACCTGTAGTATTGCGACCTATGTACATAGATCTATCGTGTTCGGCCTTACGTACATACGAGTAGCATTAATTTTTATATACATGATTTGAACCTGAACATGAAAAAATACTAATTAAATCGAACAGCCTGTACCTACTGATCCATTTAAAATCATCAAAGTAAGCACATGTAAAGTAGGAACATGGAAACTCAATATACAGCTACCCAGTGACATAGTTGCATTGGATATATTTCAGTACAAAATCTCATGTCTAGTTCTGAAACTGCAGGGGCTACTTGAAATGCATCGTTTCTCGCATGTGCATTGTCGTATCTCTCTAAATGGAAATAGCGAGTGAAAGAAATGATGTTTTATTTTTATAGCTTTCTTCACATGCTTCATAATATATAATAATTTGTGATTTTTTAAAATGTATTACTAAGACTTTTAATATGTAATATGATAAGAGAGAGTAGATGAACTTATTATATTATTAATTCTATCGTATGTTTTTTTTTTAATAGTGCGTATCCGGATTTTCATATATTTTATTATCATGTCTTGTATTAGCACTTTTGAACGTATGTTATCAATACTCTTATGAGTGTTAATAACATTATTAGGTATTAATTTCTAATATCTATCTATCTATCTAACTACAATTTTGTCCATTGATCGATTTAAATCACATTATTCGAATGGACAAAAAGGTATCTATTCCAATTTTGTAATTTAGTCATAGAAAATGAAATATATTTAATAGTGTTTCTATATATATTAGATGTATCTTATATACCTACTAAAATGAATGACTTTGCTTGAGATAGCTCGTTTCTTGTCAATATCAGTTGTATTTGTACCCCAGTTGTTTACCTCAGACGTTTCATTAACTGTTCCGTAATAGTGTCCAGTAGTTGCCAGCTATTTGAACTAGTGCACAAAGTAGGACGTCTCCATTTCACAAATATTAGAAATGAGCTGATATTCTGTTGAGCTAATTACAGTATTTTTATTCCATCACGAATATTTATGTATTACATGATTATCACATCAATGGCGAAATAATAATTAAGAAAATATTACTAGAATTTTTAATGCAAAGATTAGTAAAATAATATAATGTCTGTCATATGACATTTTACAGTTATCTTTTCTTTGAACAATTTTAGTCTTTAAAAATGAAACTTTTATAAATATTTATTTTTTATTATTAGAAAACGTTTTATAATGCAATGAGTTTAAGCTCATAATGTCCGACAAATGAATCCCATCTATTTAATATTTCACCGACACTCAGCAGTGCCCAAATTAAGCAGATAATTCTGAACTGCCTCTACGGGTATTAAATTTAAAACTTTGATATAAATGTGACACGATACGACGGCAGTGCGTATTATTTCATCCGACTCTTAGAAGTTTTTGTGCGAATTAAGATTGCGCCTCTCGTATTTTTGACAACCGCTTTAACTGTCAGGATTTGGAGAAATTGAAACGATTATAAAATCGTCATTTACGGTGTTAAGAAAATAAATTATTAAATACGATTTTTAAACGTTGACTTTGGTAATAAAGCCTGCTAAAATTGCCATACCATTATTTTGTGATATGAATGTATTCGAAAAATCAAAACAACATTTTATATTTGATTTCAAAACAAATTATATTCATCTTAGTGTGACGAAATGTCTTTGTTTGTTGTTTGTTCAGTAGAATAAAACCATAAATTCTTATTTAGAACGTACTCGTATATGAGCTCACATACATATTTTTCAAGTCGTGTGAAAACTAATTTTGACGTCATTCCGAACTGACTGACTGATCTTAATTTATATTGAAATTTAACAGGTATAGCAGACATTTCCACTCTTAGGGCGAGCATCCTCTTAATACATAATCCTGGGATCATTGTCACACGAATCGGTAATGATGTTGTGTCTCGTACTAAGCCTGGTATTATGGAAGTATACAAACACAAACACACACACAGATAGATAAGTACTTACTTACATAGGGATTTAATATTGTTCACTATTCTTTAATAAAATAAAAAAAAAGAACGAATGAATGTATAGTAGAAGAAATTGCAAAGAATCACATTATCCAATTGGGAAAACAATGAGGATTTATAATAGCATTGTATGTGAAAATAAAAGGAAAAAACCGTTTATTTTTGCATTTTTATAAAATACTTAGCTTCATTCTTTGTTTGAGTTTTCATTGTTTTGTATTCCTTTTACTCCGTTACTACATAGATCATCATAAGAAAATGTACATCTGGCAAAATTTTACATGTATTAATATTTTTTCATAATAAACTTAATGTGTAATAACAGCTATTATTTATAAATTTGTAGATAAATAGCTTTATATTCAATAGTAACATGCAAAAGGACATCAATTTCATAAAGTTGACTCTGTGCTCGCAAAATGAAACGTGATTTCCATAGCGTTATGAAAATGTATACTCTACGGTGTGCCTAGAGAATTCCAACCGAAATCCCTGAAAACAATTTAACTGATTTGCAAATTTGGTGTGCAAACATGTCTACGTAAGATTCCTATGATACAGGTCACCCAATAGCATTAACTGGGAATGAATGCATTAATTTTAGTTAAATAAATTACGCTTAGACTTATATTATCTTATAAAAGTTCTTTTAAAAGTTTTCCCACTCCAATTCGATGACATATTTCTTAACCATTTAGATCGTAGTATCGCTGACCGCATATCGATTCATCTTTTCAAAGCGTAGAGCTTCAAGGAAATTGGTCCCTCGGGCCGGATACATCTAAATTTTAACTAATTCAACAACGGATATTATTAGGTATTAAAAATGTTGAGTTAGAATATTTTTTGTTACATTAGGCTGTTATCTATGTAGTCTACTCTACTCCCATTATACTAATGACGGCATTCTCAGCAGTTCTCGAGCGTTGCACATGTTTAAAACTCTGCAGTATTTATATAGATGATATATCTTAATGCGAATAGTCTACCATTGCTTTTATCCAGCAAAAAGTTACAAATTACCTTTCAAAAAATATTTTACTGGTGGTTCTTGAGCCTGCACCATATAATCTTTAAAGATGGTATATTAAGATTTCTTAACGGTCGGTGTCGGTGCTTAGGTGTCCATACTATCGTAACCATTAATCATACATGGGCTTATGTGTGTTTGCTTTGTTATTGTGGTATAAAAATGGTAAATCGATATTCCTATCAGTACCGCTAGACACAAATCGCAGTACAAATTATAAGCACGCACTTTTTAATAATTAATTATATACTCACTTACAGATAAAACCGAGGGCACAGTGTGCCATTAAATTAGTTAATTCGGCTCTTGCAATGGGTAAAGTCAGAAGTCTTAACAATGCCGTACCACGGGCATTGAAATCTAGGCATTGTTCTCTGAAACATGTACATTCAGCGCTGGATTCGCTGTAATTAATGGAGAATACCCGACATGTGTAATGGTAATATGTAATAGCTGATTAATAAATTATTAAGCTTACTAGTTTGCCAGTATATTCTATATATTAATCAATTTCAATTATGATTTCTATAGTACAATTGCTTAGGGTTTTCCAGAACTTTGTATTTTATGTCTATTTTAAGACTCTAAATGATCTTTATCTGTTTTATCTTTTTATGCCCTGAAATCATAATCATTCTATTTGTAGGATTAGTTCGTATTAACATACATATGTCTCTTGTATTTGGTTTAATATGTAACGTCCTTATGTAACGTTTGATGGTTAGTGTGGTTATTGGAGAATAAATACAATTTACAAAATCTATGGTACGGTTATTTAAGTGTAAGTTAATTAACACTTGTAGATTCGTTTTTTGACTTTATAGTAATGAAATAGTATATTGGAGTAGTATAAATAGCCAGTAAATAGTGATTCCTAGTTGAGTAAGTATTGAGCGAATGCGATTATAATTACAATGAAGAATAAAAAGAATTCGTGATTTTAGATTTTTTATTAAATCTTTGAATCATTTTTATATTTCAGGTGTCGTCATATATATAGCCGTATTGATGGAAATAAAAACAAATAATTATTTCCATTTAAACTTAGCACTGTTCTTTAGCAACCGTAATAAGGTAAAACGAATATAGACAATTAAATTAATAAATAATTATTACTGCTATTATACCTGAGAACCTTCGACTGTATATATAGGTATTGGTATTGGTAAATATAATCACAGAAAGACGGTTTTTAGAAAAGAATAATAGGTATATATAAAAGTAAATGTAATTGACATATAACATTTTTCTATATTAAAAAATAGACAAAAACATAAGTAATATAAAAAAAGATGCGTCGTGCACAGTATTTACTGACTATTTCTCAGATATGTACGTAGTTGACAATTAGGTTTGTAATGCTAAATTGAATCATAAACAACCGTCACCATAAATCTCTGTGAGTACCATATCTGCTATCAATACAGCTACATTATGTCAAGGTAACTTTAAGATAACATCAGAAACAAAGATAAATTGTTCTAATATACGGCATATTGTCCTCCAGTCTCGTGTAACTAGATTCGCCATGATAAATGCACTGCGAGACGCGACTCGACTTCCAACTCGATTAAGGTTGATTAACCACTATATGAACTGGGTCGGAACTCAATTTTAAAACTTAGCACCTGTATGGAATATACAATTTGATAAATTCAATATTTAGACTTGGGACGTAGTATTTTGTTGCAAATTTTATCTCGACAATAAATCGTGGTTTCTTATAAGGGTGATTGTTGGCCAACCCATAGCATAATATTTTGTATTAATGTAATAGGAATAGCAAACAAGCTGATGGCTCACCTGATGATAAGTTACTGTCGCCAATATACATACGGATATCCAGTTATCATGTGGACGATCGTGATACCACTCATGCGTTGCTATTCCGAAGGACTTTCGCGTTTTGTCTCATCACGATTTTATTATATGTAAAAATAATAACAGTCAATATAAACCTAACAATATAATAGTCTCGTAACTGTAATCAGAGATGGAGTAGATATTTACGTTCTCTGACTATCTAACCTTGGATGAGATATCATGTTACTTAGGTCGAAATAAACCCAAAATCCGTTTCTCCACTAATTTATCTCTGTCATGTTATGTAGCAGAACCTATAACGTAACTTGTGACCTCGGTGTGAAGACCCGGGTTTGATCCCCGAGGAATAAATTAAACTATTTCGTAACAAAACCCTTATGTTTTATTGATATTCATATATACCATACTGAAACTATATGGCTTCGCAGATACATATTGTATTACGGTTGTTCAGTTTTCTGATAGTTTTGGATCCAGTTTGTGTTACCGTAGACAGAGAGATGTAGTTGAGTTATATATTTATATTATTTTAATTTATTCTTTATTGAACAAAAAAAGCATTCTCTACCAGCTAATAAGTACGTATAAAATTTTGGAAAGTCAAGAAATCAACTTGATAAATACATCTGCCGCCTATATATAATAGAAAGTATGTGAACCCATCTGGAATGCACAGTCGTATTTCTTTTCCACCTCCTTTAATTAAACATTCTCTTGTAATTATACGGGCTCGATACCAACAGTGCATTCCAGCCTATTCCTTATATTATGTTGCTAGTATACTATTTCTTGTAGTTTTAACACAGTTACAGTAGGATCTAATCTAAAAAGTTTAATTTTTATTGGAATTCTATACGTTATAATTATAATAATTAGAGAAAATAACCATAGATGATTTGAAAACTTAAATATGAAATATTTAAGTTTTCGGCTTAAACAATATTCCATTCCATTTTCGAATTATTATAGTAATTTTAAAGCCACAAATTTCTTACAATTTCAATTATTTTTGTTATATTAATTCTTCCATTTTGATATTTGTTGAAATTTGTGTAAATCTTTTTAATTTGAGATTAACTTACAGCCGGCTTTCTAAACAGAAAGTAAAAAAGAAAAAGAAATTCTTTTTCCGCGTTCTGTCTTTTACTTTAATTATTCTAAGCTAATTGACTTTTATTCATTGCAAACAGGATATCTATTGATTTTCTGATAAACTCTTGTCAGTGGCGTTAAATTAAGAAACCATTAGCTATACTAATTTATTAAACATAAAATCAATTCATTACAAATCGAGTTAGGAATTGCTGAACGATTATTAATAATATTAGAAAAAAAATTTGATGTCAACATCAATCTAGAAATATCGGATGAGAATAATCTATGTTGTTTAGGTAGCGAAATATCAGTAGTAAATGGAAAGTCCTATTTCAATACAAGTTTCTTAATATAAAATATACTTGTATGTATATTATCTGGTAATATATTGGCCGCAAGTTGATGAATTTAATTACATAGTATTATTTTAAAATTTTCAAGAACAGTATATTAAAGTTTTAAGGGTCGATAATGAGCATGTGACACCACTGGTGTCTCAGGCATGCATAGTCTACAGTAACCACTTACCATCAGATGAGCCCTATGCTTGTATCTGACCATCGTAGTATAGAAAAAATAGAAAGGATGTAAATAATTTTTGTTATAACATAATAATAATATATGTTTTCTTACAATGTCAATCACTTTGATGATAAATAAATACGATACATCGTAAATGTCTTACACGACATATGTTTTCCAAACACCAGTAATTTGTTAAGTTTATAATTAGTGTTAAATCGAAATCCTACCGAGTATACGTACATATTTTTTTTCCATGAATAATAACTTTATACAAATAAATAAGAGTAATCCGTAAAGAGAAGTTCCGTGCTTGTTAGTCGCATTTGCTCGTTATCCACTGTTTTTCATGGCATGTGGGGCGGATCGAGTGAACATGTTACCCTATTTGCAGACACGGATATATCCCGCTGATTATTATGACTGTTG